TACTATAGAGACCAATGAGAATATAAAATTAACAAGAATACTAACAATAAATAGCACTTCACTTTGTAGTACCAAGACTAAATTTACAACAGAGAAAGCTACAGTAGATCTACAAAAACCCAACTGCGTTACCGTATCTATAGCCACTGTTGTACGAATTCGAATAACTTCCGAATGGATTACTGTAACTTGTACCAATTCCAGAACCCCATGGTGAGATCAATGTACCAGATGTAGCACCATCCGAATATCCACTCACTATTTGTGGTCTTGCTTCTGATAATTGAACGTATAACGATATTAACAGTAATACGATTAGTAGCTTTTGAATTGTCACCATTTTTGAAGATTGTAAGGGTATTACTGTAGGTAGGTATTTATAGGTTTATAAGTTTTATACTAGACTTTTAGGCTTGCAGAGAAAATATTACGCGTTTTTAAGTCAAACTATAGTAGGCTGTTCGTACTAGTATATCTAATCAAATTATGGTAGACCGTTTGTACTGTATAAGTAGGTTACTGTAGTTAGTACTAAAGTAAAAGTTTTTGGTACTACCACAAAATCAAAACTTGTGCTATTGAGTATTAAAATGAACTGACAGTACCACAATTCTAGCAATGATAGTATAGTAAAACTTGTTATCATAAAATGATATCAAATAACAAGTAGCCAAAGTAAAGTCTGTTCGAAGCGTGTAGCCAACGTGAGAAATCAACCCCCGAACGCCCGATCCGCCACTTTTTATAAGAGTTTTGATAAGAAAAAACCAGCCTATTACAGCAATTCATAAGGAAGTTGATTCAACTGAAACCAATGTTTTCTTTAGGTTCATCTAAACTACATCAATGTTCTCTCTGTTTCAGTAAGCCAACGTACGTCAATGTTCTCTCAATTTCAGTATTGTAACCTACATCAATAATCTTCTCGTCATAGTAGGATCAACGATCTCTATGACCTGCCAGAGTCAAAACCATAGTTCTCTGCAACGTTGATCCAAAACAACGTTCTCTACGAATTGCTATAGCCTACATCAATGTTCTTTCATTTCTCTAACCAAAACCTTGTTCTTTTGTAAACAAAACACAAATTGTTAGGTTAACAATTAGTCCGTTCTCTGCTCCCGCTCTGTTAAAACTACGAATTCAAAGACAAATCTTTAATGAACGCGTAACGTCATGATTCAAAAATCTTGAAAAAACAATACAGTAAGAGTTTCTAAAGGGCCTTTCAAAGATTGTAAGTCCTCACCATGTGCCTGAGTTAGTATCAAGGCCGAGTTGAAATCAGAATCTCTAGGTAGATATGGCTCCTAAGTAAGCCCGGTTAGACTAGACTCGGAACTGGGCCTACAAGACACATCTGGGCCGGGTAAGACAATTTTAAAAGAAGTCGGACTCTTGAAAGGATTGGTCAAATTTTGTCCTAACAAAGAAATTACAAAAATTCATTGTTACAAGCATTAATTTACAGAAAAATGAAAATAAATGTAATCACGACAATTTGAATATTTTTGAATTATAATAAAATATTTTGTCAGCGGCTTTTTTATGATTAAACTTTTATATTATAGTAGGCATCTTATAAGTCTAAAGCTTGTTTTGTTCATAACTTCATAAAATTTGACAAATTAACATGAAATTTGCCCGAAGCATGTAAAATTCAATTCAAAAAAATTTTTTTAAAATATTTTAAATTTTGATATTGTTTTTTTTTGGAATACTATCAAAATTACTCTGAACTTACCCCGCTCAAAGAAAGAATAAAAAGCAATATATCCTGTCATTAAACTAAGATAAAGAAAAAATTAACAATTAATGTTATATACAAGTGTATTATACTACAATTACATTATTTTACATTCCCATGAAGATACATTTCATCGTATAACAAGTTTCGGGCGCATTTCGCAGCCAAAAGTTGATTTTATTATTTTTGAAAAATATTGATGTTGATCAATGTTTCACGCCAAAATTGACAAAGTTAATGGATGTATTGGGTGGTAAGTTTTATATTATATTAAATTTTAAGTTTTTAGCTATATTTTACGTGAATTTTATGTATTTTAGGTAATTTTGACATATATTTCGAGGCTTTTGAAGTTCGCGAGTGCAAATTTGAAGAATAATATCGGGAAATCTTTGGAAACTGAAGTGAATTTTTATTTTTAGGATAAAATTAAAGCTGATATAGTTTTTGTAGTACGTTTTATATTTTAGGTATCATTTGGAGCGAGAGACAAGTTCTATATTGTTCAACACGTTGCGAGTGGCAGTTGATGGGCAATACAAACGGAGACGGGCAGGAATTGTGGGACAGTGAATGGTGATGGATTTGTTATAATGAATTTGGATTTGGTAGGTCATTTTTTGTAAAATACGTCAGTTTCACGCGTGTTTGTAGAATATTTTGCATAACAAGTTTTTTAAAGTTGGTTACTTTTAAGGGGAATTGGTTTGTATGGGAAAGTAAGTTTTTTGTGTGTTTTGTAGTTATGTTTAGTGATAAATAGGACTAATAAGTGATTATTTATGATAATAAGGGCTATCTGATGGTTGAACTGAAAAAATTTAATTTTCTATGCAAAATGTCATTTTTTAAAAATTTTTTTATAATTTGCTTTGAAGTAAAGTATGATAGTGTCTTTGATGTTAAATTTATAAATCATAAAAGGTTAAGTTACAGTAGTGTATAGTATAATATGGTTAAAGAACTGGTAGTTAAAGGTGATAGGGTAGTGCAAGTTGGTTGACGGTAGAATATTGAAAGACAGGGTTGGGTGAGGAAGGTCATGGCAAGGTAGTGTATGGTACAGTAAAGCAAAGGTGGGTTATGGTAAGTTAAAGTATCGTAGGGTAATGTAAGGCCCAGAAAAGTAAAGTATGGTAGAGTGAGGAAGGGTATGATAAGGTAAAGTAAGGTAGAGAAAAGAGCGGTCTGGAAAGATGAAGTATGATAAAGTAAAGCAGGGTATTATAAGGTAAAATATGGTAGGGTAAGGTAGGGTCTAGAAAGGTACGACAGACTAGCATAGGATCTAGTATGATGTTGCACTTTGACATACAATACTACCTCATTAGTTTGAATTTTGAGCAAAATACTAACTTTTTAAAAATTTAAGATAAATTCAAAAACAAAAACTTTGTTTCATTTTCTCCCAATAATTTTATTGACTTGTAAATATAACATCAGATGACTGTCGCTAATATGTGATCGATCAAAAATTTTTCATTTCGCACGTTGCAACGGAATCAAGGAAATAGAAAATTTGAGTGTAATATTCCGTGTGCGAATACTCATTATACCATCTCTTCACAGTTTTTTTTATCACAAAGTCACAAGTTGATGGTTGTGACAGATTGGAGAAGAGAGTGAGTATATGGCATGAAAATGGCAATTGTGTTAGGGTTTGTTACATATAAGGTCGTTGTAAGGTAAAGGAAGTCTGAAGTTGTAGTTTGAAGTAAAGTGCTAGAAGTAGACCTAAAAAGAGGCCCACTAATACCGGCAGAAGGCTGGACTAGGCCAGGCCGAAGAAAATTTGAAAGGAGCTGGGTTGGCACGGTTCCGCAACGAAAGATTTGATTTGCGAAAAGTGTAAAGATAAATTTGATGTTGAATTAGTGAGCCGGGCCAAGAATGTAAGCTTCGGCTCTCAAAAATTTTATTTTTTTTAGTTTGCATTGGAAACGAGGATTTAAAGTAATGTAAATTGATAATAAAAGGTTGATTATGATAACCAATGACGTAGATATTTGGTGTGTGGGTGAATGGGGGTGGATGTACCCAACCCTTTTCCCTCTCCGAAAATAAAACTGTTTTGATAACCCTGATGATAACCTATTTGTAAAATTTAAAAACTCACACCAAAGAAACACCGACTTATTTTTATAACAAACTTTAATATTCAAGTGATAAATTGATAAAAACATACTTTAAAAAACAAAAAAAAGTTGGAAAATATGAATGTAAAAGAGATAGATAGACGTAGAGGTACCAAAACACTAAAAGAAACTATTCTATTAAACAAAATAACAGGTTATGTGACCGTTAAAGTGATTTAAAAAATGTTGAACTATGGCTAACAGACTGATTGAAAACTAAAAAGATATGGTTAGAGGTGGCTGTCGGTCCGGTCGGGTCAAATGCATTTTCAAAATCGGTCCGGTCAAAAAATTTAGGACTCCGGTTCTTAGTTTAGGACCCGACCGTTAGCCACCACGATCGGGTTTTCCAAATATGGATGAGCTTTTCCCAGCTGGTAACTTTGATATGTTTGACTCATCCATATTTGGACAACCTGATAGAAAGATATTAGAGAAAGAATTGTACAATGAAGTGGAGAAATTGTAAAACATATTGTAAAAGACTCCAACTTACTGCAAAAGACCCAATCATAATGCAAAAAGATAAAACATATTCTAAAAGACTCCAACTTACTGCAAAAGACCCCAATAGACCACAGAAAGATGATACAGTACTACTTTTTTATACGATTCAGACATATTATGGATGTAACAGAAGAGTGAACTTTTGAAAAAAAGCCAAAAATCAAACAAGAATCTACCGAACCTCATATTAGATTGTTCAAATAATTCTGTGCCCCTCAGCCCAGAAAATTTGCTTTGAGAGGGGCGCAGTATAATTTGAACGAAATAATAAAAAACACTATAAAACATATAAAATACTATCAAAAACGTTACAAAAATCCAGCAGCATTACTGTACCGTCCCCATGGATAGTATGAGTTGGAAAAGCTACCATACGGGTTTGACCATTGCGAAGCCGCTCCAGGTCCACTACTAATCCCACCACCCCAGGGTGATAAAATACTCCCAGACATTGTCGAATCCGCGTACGATGCCATTGATTTTGGTATTAGAGTCAAGAGTAGGAGGAATCGAAAAGCGTTTGAGCTCATTTTGATGTTGTAGTAGGTAGAGGAAGGATCTTGTAGTCGGTTGAGGGAGGATGCTTTTGTAGGTAGAAGGGGTGTATTGTACTAAATTTGGAGCAGTATAGAGAAGATTTCGGGGATCTGAAATTAGGAAGAGGTTAAATGTGTTGTTGATAGAGTACAATAGATTGTAGATGATACTGTATTGTCGATGTCAAATAGATTATATATATAGGTAATATTTCTAAAATAGTCAGATGAGGCCTTTAAAATCGATAGGTAAGACCTAGAATGGTCTATAGGCAACTTAGAAGGTATTACTCTAAACGTCTTAACCTAAACGTCTTAACTTCAGAAGCTCAAAGGTAACCTTTGTAAAACCAAAAATAAGGTGACACCAGGCCCAAACCCTTCAGTAGACTTTAAAATTTTAGAATTCTTACAAATTAAATTAAAAAAACGCTTAACAGACTGCTTAAATACCGTCTTGAGTACTTAACTTTCAAGCCAGTAAACAATGTAGGCTTGTACGATAAATTAGAGGTTGTTTTGATGCGTTCCTACGTGGAAATAATTTTAACTCCTTAAGTAATGTTTTTAATTCGAAAAAGTTCGAACCTCAAAGAGTAACAACATTACGTTTTTGTATAAACAGAACTGTAATATAATTGGCAATTTTGATTTTGAGTTCGATCGTTTATTTTTAAAGTTGTGTTTAAGACCTGTAAGGATTTTAATGCAAATTTTTATGAATGAGGTCAAGGAAGGTATGGGTTGTTTCGAAAAAGTTAACTCATTTCTACGTGAAAATTTACCATGATGAACTCTAAATTGTCGTGTAAGGCTAGGGTTTTTGTTTACTGGCAAGAGATTGAACTCTGCGTACTTGAAGTTGTATTTAAGCTGTCTGATAAATGTTTTTTAATTTAATTTGTCAGAGTGCTAAAATTCAAAATGTCTGCTAAAAGTTTAGAACCTGGTTTCACTTCAGTTTCGGCTTTTCAGAGGTCATTTTTGAGCTTTTGAATCCAGCTACTTCAACATATTTTTTAGTATTATTACAAGTTTCCGTAACGCTTATCGATTATTATTGATTAGCTGACGTTTTTTTATCTATTAGTTGGTGCCTTTAAATTTATTGAAAGTTGGTAGCTTACTACCCGTAACACGCTTAACCGAAACTTACTTTACAAAAAGCCGGCCGCATTATTGTATCGTCCTGCACTACTATACGAATTTGAGAAGCTGCCATAAGGGTTAGTGTAAGAACCGCCGAGACCGCCACCCCAAGGCGATAGGATCGTACCAGACATACTGGAATCCGCGAATCCGAGCTGTGGAGCGGGTTTGGCATCGATTGTGAAAGGTAGTAGGACGAGCAGTAGGAAAAGGAATAGCTGTTTGAACATGGTTTTTGGATCTGAAAATTTGGGATTAGGGTAGGATTGGAAGTTATGTGAAGGAGAATGTTAGAATAGTTTAAAAATTGGATTTATTAGGTTGTTCAAATAATTGTGTGCTCCCTCTCAAAGCAAATTTTCGGGATTAGAAGCTCAGAATTATCTGAACAACCTAATAAAGGCGGATTATTTAATGGCAACATGAGCAATTTTATGACTAAGCTTGATAAACTAAGAAAAATGACCTTTATTACGATAACAAGGGTCATTTTCCGCTTTAGGTGATGTTTTAAAGTCTGGTTAAACTTATGGTAGTACATTACAACAAAAATACCATCTTAATCAGACAACAACATGGGTCAAACTCTAGCAATTTGCCTTTGTTTCTGATGAAATATCAAAAGTTTGCTTCACTTCGTCATTTTTAGTATACCAGATTCAGAATACTGTACAATGTATAGCAGAAAACAGTCTGTTTGTTGGGTAGGTATAAGGGCCTATTCTTAAAGAGTTATGCGCATAAGGTCTCTTTCGTTCATTTTGGCCTAAAATTTGGCTTTAGTACACCACTCTTTACGCCTAGTTACCACTGCCATACAAATTTGGTTACCGTTACTATTGTACAACTCACAAAAACAAAAAGTAAAGCAAACCCTCACGAAAAACACTGTAAAACCAGCATCAAATGAATTAAGCAACTTCCTTAAATCACGAAAAATTTTGTTGTAGGGAAGGGAACGCTTCTTTATATAACAACGTGATTAACTCACGGTAACGGCCGCGTTGGTTAGTCGAGTGTAAACAAACGTGAAACATCTACTAAAATTACTGAATTCAAAAACATGTCTCTAAAACTCAAAGAACAAGGAGTTTTGAGTAAATTTAACCGGATTGCATGGACTATGGTGTCTTGTTTTTGGCTGATGATTTGGTCTGGATTATGTTACGGTATTTGAATTTTAGTTGGTAGTGTTAAAAGGACTGGAAAGCTTAAATTTTTGATGTTTTTGGCGATTTTTTGAGTTTAGTTAGTTAAAATATAAGGTTAAAGTCTTCGTAATGACCAAAACATAGGCTTCAAAGCCCTCACAATATAAAGACTAGTATAGCAATGGTACCTATTCAAAGGTTACCAAACAATAAAAATTTAAAAACCTAAAGAAAAATTCAAAAAATGTCAAAACTCACTTTACAAAAAGCCAGCGGCATTGTTGTAACGTCCGTAGGCGGTGTTGGAGCTGGAGAAACTTCCATAGGGATTGGACCATGATCCACCTGGGTTACTACCCCATGGTGATACCCAACTACCAGAAATGGTCGAGTCAGCAAAGCCCGATACTAATTGAGGTGCTGGTTTGGCATTACACACAGTAACAATTGTAAACAAGAGTAATAGAAGGGAGAAGAAGCGGGCCGACATAATGGTCAATGAACTGAAAATTGTGGTTTTAGGTTTACACTGCTTAGGTTTAGTATTACTGAATTCCTGAAGTGGAATGACAGTGTGATTATTACGGAACTGCGAATGATAGTTTATGTGAAAAAAATTGTAAAAGTTCAAGATATGACCCTTTGGACAAAATTTTGAAAAATTTGAAGGTGGTTCGCGGTTTTTTTTTGAAAAACAATTGTCATTTTCCTCTATAATTGGCGATAGGATATAAAGGATTTTGCTTGCTGTGCCCCTAAAATACTTTACTTTGTACAAGGCTAGGCTTGTCATGGGATTTAGAGTCTTAGAACAGCCTACGAATCTATAAATTGTTCTGTAATAAATATTATCATTCATTCAGCCTATGGTAAAAAATATCATACTCTACGCTCTGTCCTAGGGCAAGTCGCTTTGCCTGCTATCCCTAACTACTGATAAAAAAAATACTCAAGTAAGTTGTCTACTGTCCTTGCAAGACCAAAGTACCCTTTAAAACTAAACAAAAATATAAAACCCGGAAGACCGGTGGTATCAGTAGAAACACTCATGGTAACTTGTGAAACCAAAAATTATTTCGGAAAAGAAACTCTGCTTTTAATACGCCGTGATTAAGCGAGAAAAAAGTTTTTTTTTGATGACTTGAGTGTAAACCAACCCCAAACATCTTCTACAATTACTACGTTCGAAAAAGTTTTGAAATAACTCGGAGAATGTTTTGTGTACACCGATATTTCTTGTCATTGAGAAGCCGCGAGACGCTTCACGATGTAATTGGTTATTAACCTATCTAACTATATTCACGCACACTTTCTATCATCAAGGTTTTTGTGTTTACAGTGAAATATGGGTTAGGTTGGGGCGGGGTGGTAGGACTAGGGTTGAGCTGTGGCTTTGGCCAGATTTGTTTTTAAAAAAACAGGCCGGGCTTGAAAATAATATCATGTGATATAATTGAGAGGCCGTGGACCTGTTATAAAAAAGGGCCTAGAGCCAGAAGATTAGTCGCGGTCTAGAAAAATTAGAGGGGAAAAAGCTTTGGACTATACGCTTATACAGAATGCTTTAAAATTGGGGTTTGAGTTTAATAGCTAGGCCTTGGGGAGTCCAGCTAGTTACAAGCCTGGGCTCCGGCTTGCGAGTTGAGCCTCAGGTGTAAAAATGAAGTTATAAACTTAAAGCTGAACGATAAGCTGATAAATGGAAATTTGGCTTTAGAACTTTCGAAGCCTAATGTAAGTTAGAAAATGGCACATGAAACTAATTTTGATTTTACTTTTATGTATGATTCACTGAATTTAAAAACTTTAGAAGCACTGTAAGATAAAATAATAAAGTTATTCGACGAAATCTGAAAACTTACAATAAAATGTGCCATATTCAATTCAAAGCCTTAAAATCACAAAACTATTCCAAAACTTCATTCTTTGCCTACAAGAACCCAGCCGCGTTACTGTAACGTCCATAACCAGTACTAGAGCTTGCGAAACTTCCATACGGATTCGACCACGATCCTCCCAAATTACCGCCCCATGGCGATACCCAACTGCCGGAAATGGTCGAGTCTGCAAAGCCAGATACGATTTGAGGTCGGGCGTTGGTAGTAGTAGTTAGAAAGAGTAGTAGTAGTATTGATAGTAGTTGGTGAAACATGTTTTGAAATCTGGAAATAGTGGGTTTGCTGATAAAATACGACAATTTAACGTGGATTTTTGTAACATAACATTTTCTTGAAAAGTAAGGTATATATGTACATGTAGTTGAACCTTAGTTGCATAGACGTAAAGGAACCTCTGGTTATAATACATTTAAAATGGCCTATTACTTGATGTTGCTTATAAAGGTAATATAGTGTAAATGGCTAACGGTATACGAAAATGAGGCTAGCGGTTTACATTGGATTATTAGTTTAAGATTAGACTACTTTTTTAATCATAGGCTATTCATTGTAACCATATATTGCTTATAAACCCCAATATTGCAGCAAATACGTGTATACGTTGAAGTTATACAGCAAAACATGCTTTCAATCAAAAAAAGTGAACTGTTTTAAAGGCGATTCGCCAAGAACTACAGCAAAAATCGAACGGTCGCTAACGGAAAAGCATTGTGATAGTTGCTTCGGTAGAGTAACGATTACTTTAAATATGCTGTAAATAAGAGAAAACATTGGATTTTCTCTTGGGAAATGGGAAAAAAGGGCAGGACATAATCGTATCTTGCCACAGTAACCCGTTTTTCCCAATTTTACGCATTTCAAAAGTTGGGAAAGGGAAGTGTTTTGACTAAAGTACTACCTTTAACCGGATTTTGCAGGTACTATGTTGTAATAGCTTGTAATTGAAGGTTACTACACTACATGAAGCATACTAGACAGATTATGCTTTGTAGCATCGCTTTAAAATAATCTATCGCTGTGAGACGTAGCTCAACCTTTATTATACAACCTAATAGCACAGTTTTAATGTCAAGTAACACTTACATTGAAGAACGATGAAATTACAATACACTAACATATAATAGAAACTTTTGTAGAAGCAAAACAGTAGTATATGTAAAATAACTTTCATGACGATGTGCAACTCATAGTAAAAAGATATATGTACATGAAATTCAATGGTCAGTACTCCAAATATCAATATCTTTTCATACTAAAAATCGCTAATATGTATATTGAGACATAAATGTAGGTACTGTGTTACATATAGTAGCCACACAGTAGAACAATAGCGTTTACAAGAATTAAGTCGTAGTAAATAGAAGTCCGTAAAACCTAAAAGAACCTTATAAACACTATTTGAGCTTCACAAGAACCCAGCCGCATTAGTGTAGCGTCCATAGCCACTATTAGAGCTGGCAAAGCTGCCATATGGATTGGACCATGATCCGCCCAAATTGCCGCCCCATGGTGATACGATAGTGCCTGATGTCATACCATCAGCCCATCCTGATACGATTTGGGGGCCTCCTTTGGCTTGTACTGTTGACATTAGGGTTAACAGTATTAATGGTAGTAAAAATAGTATTCTGTTCATTTGAGAATATTATAGTAGAAGCGCTCCGAAATATTATGGTAAGAGTGATTAGTGATAGTGTTTATAGTAGAAAAATTTCCTATGTAGGATGGAAATAAGCTGTAAGGTTAATACAGTAAGCTTATATCGTTTAGTAGTACAAATACCAAGGCTATTGTACAAAACCACAAAGCCAAAAACTTTAACAGTACAAAGATACACCAATAATAGCACAAAAAACTACAGTAATCTATAACTTTAAAAATGCGGCAAGTTACACAAACGTGTCGAAATCAAATGACTCGCACTTGATGGGACAATAATTTTTTAAGACCATATACACGTATTAAAAGTGTAAAGACCGTGTAAAAATACATCGCACAACCTTTACGGTAAAATGATTGAACACTCATTGATGCTACAACACACATGTGACCTTATGTTCTGGGAAGAGAGGAAAAAACCCAACAATGTGTACAAACAATGACAAATAGAATTAAAATTATACAGTGGAATTTCTGTATAAGGAACTCCATTATAAAATGATAAAACACCATCCACGTCCGTTTTAAATACAAAAGCTCAAAACTGCATTATCACATTAAAGACAAAAATTAAGCATTCAAACAAATAACATAAAGTACTATATCAAACAAAAAAATCACAAATTTCTCAAAAAAAATGGTAAATCCCCATGAAATGACGCAGACGTACTGCGACATTTGGGGAAATTGCAAAATGGGGAAACGACCAATGGGGAAAACAACATATGCAAACACTTGACAGAAAACAGCTAATAGGACTATTATTGACTAATGATACTAATTGTGCACTACATTTTTTGCCATAAGAAGATCTTGCAGACTAGCTTTTGGGTAAATTAGGGTAATTTTTCAAACAAAAATAACAGTTGACGCAAAAAAGGGGAGGTGTGTCAAGTGTCTCTTTTAGGCGTACATACATATTTTGAACGGACTTCACTTTTTTTCGATTGCGATACCATACTGTTCTTAACTCTTCCTTAATTTATCTTATTATAGGTTGAACCAAAAGTAGCGTTACACTTTCAGTTGAAAAATAAATGTAAAGTGTCCCGTACTTTCGATTCAACCTAATATTTTATTTTACTACTTTTTGCACTTCCTAAAGCACTAACTAAAGTACAAAAACTTGAGTAATAAAATTCATAATCAAAGCTCCAAAAGACAATAAATAAATAAAAATAAATTAAAAACGTTATGACACTTTTTCACGGTATCGAATTTCATTTTGGAAGCGATCGGCCGAGTCCAGAAGCTCGGGAAATCATCGTTTTTTCGAAAAAAAAACTGATGAAAATAAACAAAATTTTTGAATTTCTCTGGTTGTAAATTTGAAATGGGGTTTTTATTAATGTTTTAACTTTGATTTGGCTTAAAATTTAATATTTTTTGGTCAGAAAGTTTGTAGAAAAACAAAAATTTTACATTTTTCTGTTTTCTAGTTTTATTTGGTAGAGGGTATTTGGTAGAGGGTATTTGGTAATGATAATAATAATAGGTTGTTCAAATAATTCTGAGCCCCTCTTAAAGCAAATTTTTGGGGTTAGGGTCGCGGAATTATTTGAAAATTTTGAATTTTGAAACAACCTAATACTTTCAGAATGACACCAAATCTACATCAGAAGCCGGTCGATGTGCCGTGGAAACGTCTAACTGCCAGTCAATGTGTTTTATTCTTGTTGACATTACTCACTTGGATCGACTTAAAACGGCGTGCCAATGATTGTTTGAGTGATTGTTTTGAGGAACAGAACCGGGTGAAGAGGGGTCTTAAAGAAACTGTCATCAATATGACCAATACGGACCGAAGGAACAAGGATTTGTGGGTTCATTCGCTCAGCAAGATTCAGGTAATGCCTTTTTTCTACCTTTACATAGCTTTGTCTTAATCCAGCGCTAGCCCTAGCTTTGCTTTAGCTTTGACTTACCCTAGCCCTAAACTTGTTGTAGCTCTGATCTAGCTATGCGTTAGGAGCGTCCTGACCAAGCCGTGTCTTAGCCTTTTTCTAGCCTTGACCTAGCCCTGCATTAATTCTAGCCTTATTTGGTTCTAGTCGTAGCCCAGTCTTAGCCTTGCCTTACAATTAGCTTTGCCTTTGCCTTAGCCTTGCCTTAGCTTTGCATTAGCTTTGTCTTATCCTTGTTTTGTCTTAGCCTTGCCTTAGCCTTGCCTTAGCTTTGCCTTAGGCTTGTCTTAGCCTTGCCTTAGCTTTGCCTTAGCCTTGCCTTAGTCTTGCTTTAGCTTAGCCTTGTCTTATCCTTGTTTTGTCTTAGCCTTGCTTTAGCCTTGCCTTAGCCTTGACCTTACCTTGCTTTAGCTTTGCCCTAGCCCAGTATCAAGTTTTACTTTATTCGTCAATGCTATATTAATATAATCACTCTTTAGATGGACGATCTCCTGGAGAAATGTCTCGAGCTACATCAATATTGTACGGACGAGAAAGGCAGTGAAAGAGGACCACCGGGACCAGTAGGCGATACAGGACCGGAAGGACCTCCGGGACAAGCCGGGCCTATAGGGAAGCCAGGAATTCAGGGGTTACCTGGACCACCAGGGCCAATAGGACCACCTGGAATGGCTGGAGACGAAGCGGTTTGTGTGGACTGTCCTATCACCGAAAATTATGTCATGAGCGAGAACAGTTGTCCTAAGGTAATGTTTTACATATTTTTTGGTTCCGTTGGTGGCTTATTGGCAAATGTAAAACATAATATTAAACGCATAGTTTGTTTTATCTTATTTCACTTAAAATTTAATATATTGTACAGGGGCGTCGCTACGGATTTTTTTCTGGGGGGGAGACCCAAAAAAATTTTTTCGTCCGCAGGTAGCTCTACCTGTGGACCGATTTTTCAAAAGCAGGTACCTACCTACCTGTGCAATTTTTTTTCGGATCGGCTCTGGGGGGGGGGATCCACTCCCCTAGCGCCGCCCCTGGTATTGTAGACTTGTAGTTCATATTGAAAGTTTTTTTTTAATTTATGGTGGATTTCATTATAATTTTCATATTGTTATAGATCGAAGAAATGAAGTGCCCAAGTCGAATCACGATGGATGGAGAAGGCGGACCAAAAGGCGTGGATAAGATGCTACCGAACTTTATCGAATATGTAAGTACTTTACTTTTTCTTATTGTAATTTACTTTTTTCTACTCTGCTTTGTTTGTTATTACTCTACTTTATTCTAACGTGCATTAATCTATTATATCGTACCATATCTATCACATCGTACCCAACACTACCTCTTTTACCTTACTCTACTGTGCTTTATCCTTTGACACAACTTTACCCAACTTTTCTCTACACTAAATTACTCTGCTTTACCCTACTCTGTTATACCTTAGCCTATTCTACTCTACCCTACCTTTCCTTACTTTACTCTAGTTTAACATGTTTTACGTATCTTAACGTACTCTAACTTTACTTGTTTTACTCTGCTCTTCCTTACTCCACTCTGCCCTGTCATGTGCTATCACTCTATCGTGCATTATATTATCATTCTGTATGATACGTGATATACGTATTTGTACTGTACTTCCTGTCCCTTTTACAACTTTATCAAACTATGTACTTCTTCAACCACACTGTACTTAAAACTATCGTACTTAATTTTATTGTACTTTTTCACTTTAAGTAAGATCTTCTGTGATTATGATCTATCTTACTTTACTTTTCTTAAATTACTTGATCTACATCTTTCTATTAATAATTCGAATGTTATAGATGTTGGAAAACGAAACAGATACGGACACATGTATGCGAGTATGTATGAGCAACCTGACTTCATATCGAGATCAACTTGACATGCCAACCAGCACTGAAACGGCTTATATTCAAGGTGCTACTGCTCGTACGTTTTCAAACCTATTTTTAGTTTTCCTTCTGATGTTAACTTAGAATTGGCTTCAGGGCTAGGCCAAGCAAAAGTCAAGCTTAGTCTGATATTTAGGTCATTGTTAAACCTAGGGTAATCAAGCTTTTAGCTTCATTTTAGGAATTCAAAAAAGTCTTGTCGTCATTTTAAATGTATTTGTAATTAAAAAAACGGCAAGACTTTTTTTGGCTTTTTTAGGTTGTTTAAATCATTTTTTGAACGACTTTATACTATTATTATAGTAGGATTTGGTACAATATAATGGGTTTTTATAATATAATGGCGCTAGGACAAATGCGGTTTTTGGACACTTGCGGATTTTTTAAAAGGGTTTTTTTTTCTTTTTTAGTTAATTTAGTTGTAGTATGGTACTAAATGATACTAAAGTTTAAATTGGTACTGTTTTAATATGTTTTATTGCTAAATAGTACTACATTTTAAATTGGTACTGTTTTGTATTTTTTGGTACTGAATGGTACTAAAAGCCCAAAAAGGTACTGTTATGTTAAAACCGCACCAATTTAAACTTTAGTACAATTTAGTACCATACTACAACTAAATTAACTAAAAAATAAAAAAAAACCTTTAAAAAATCCGCAAATGTCCAAAATCCGCATTTGTCCTAGCGCCAATATAATATCATAGTAGGTAACAATAGCTGCTAAAAAAATGATTTTCACGTATTTTAGATTGTTTCCTACAAGGCGTGGGTAAGCCAGTGTTCCATGCGCACGCCAACACCTTCTACGGCTCATGGATGAGGGATGCCTATCCGAAAACGGGCGAGGTAGGCTTATATGTTTATAGTGGTAGGCTTTTATTGCTATGATATAAAAGTTGAACGTTATGACTGAACAATAACTGTTGTTATGTCTAGACGATAACTGCTGTTATGCCTAAACAATAGCTAAGGTAAGGTAAAAATGAGATATATAAGCTGTTTTTTTAAACGTTTTTACAGGATTCTCATAAGAGATGGCTCACCAACCACTTCGAAGGCAACGATCTCTACGAATTCCGAAACGAAGCCGAAATGCGACGTCAAAACGTATTGAAAACGTAGGTTTTTGGCTTCTAATATAGTAGAAAATTTAAGGTTTTTAAAAATTAAAATTTTTTTCTAACAAGGAAAGTGCCCGACCTGCCCCGCTCTGACTGACTTCAAACTTTTTAAATAGTAAGAGCATGTAAATATAAGATCTTCAGCAAATTACTAAACCGTGTTTTCCATGAAATGTCGAGACGATCGAGATTAAAAAATTGCGTTTTGAATTTTCCGCCAAATTGGCATTGTGTTTCAAGCTTTTATTTTTGTCATTTTTTGATTTTGAATCTTTTTTCTTTGCTGTACTAGTAGAATACCTTTAAAAGGACTTACAATTTTCAAATTTGTAAGCGCAGTTTGATTGGAAAGCCGATAAAAGTGCTTGAAACACAATGCCAACTTTGCCAAATTGACGGGAAATCGAAATAATTCAAATTTAAAACTCAAAAACGGGGGCAAAAATTTTTTATGGGTACTGTGGATGGTACAATTCATATAAAAATTTTGAGCTGATTCCATGCGGGGCAGGTAGGGTACTTTCCCTGTTAATCATGTTTTTAAGACTTTTTAAGCCAATTCTTCTTTCTAACTGGCTTATAAAGTAGCTTTTTTTATCAGGTACATATAATAATAAAGCCTTTTTCAGGTACAAACTGCCCCATTTATTCAAAGGCACCAACAATGTCTTCTTCAATGGATCCTTTTACTATCATCGACCAGGAACTCCGAAACTAGCCAAATACGAACTGGCTACACAAAACTACGAAGAAGTCATCGTACATCCAAGAGCGGCCTATCGTGGTGAAGATGTAGGTGTTTTTGAATTATATTGTTGTAGGTTAGAGGAGGTAGTGGTTGATTTTTAGGTGTTTTAACAAATTTTAAAAGTTCTAATGGTCATTTTTTTTTATTTAAAAAATATTTTTTATACTTTTTTTGTTGAAAATTGCGTTATTTACTGTTTAAAACCTATTTTAGAAAAAATTAAAGTTTTCGTTGCGGGACCTAAATTTAATTTTCCAATATTACAGTACCTCTTCAACCACTCGATGAACTACTTTGATATGGCGGTGGATGAGAATGCGTTGTGGGTAATGTTCCACTACGAAAACGAGGACTTTGTGGCGGTGACAAAGATGGACATTAACAATCTTACCGTATACGAGACGTACAATTTGACCATGATCAACCATACCGACATGGCCAATGGTTTTGTCGTATGTGGAGTGCTATATGTGGTAGGTCTGGGTAATATAGAGTTGGGTAGGGCTCTTGAACTTAGTAACAGATACGGTAGTCCGTGAGGGGGTACTGTAGTTTTTAAGAATAAGGTACAGTAGCTGTAGGGAAGAGAGACGGTAGCTTGATATGATGCTGTAGTTCATGCAGAGGATACGGTAGGTTCGGCTAAAGATACGGTAATTTTGTTGAAAAATTAGGTAGTTGTGGGAAAGGATACTGTATCTTTTGTAACGGTTACGGTAGCGTTTAAAACGGTAGCTCATTTAAAGAATACTGTAGATTAAACTAAATATACGGTAGTTATGTAAAAAATACGGTAGCTTAGGCTTAATATGCAGTACTTTTGGGAAGAGATACTGTACGTTTTGGAAAGCATATTGTAGCAAGATACGGTAATTTCTGAAAATATACTATAGCTCACGTGGATGATACAGTTCTTTAGACTAAAGTTATGGTATCTTTAATAAAGTTTACTGTAGCTTATTGTAAAAGATACGGTAACATCAGAAAATAATACAGTACTATTAATATGTTACCGTATCTTACGGGCCAAAGTAACATAGTTGTTGTAAAGTAAAGTAGCGAAAAATACCGTATGAATCCTCGCAATTCAGGTGCAAAGTTCGAGTGACTTAAAGTCCGAGATCTCGATTGCCTATGACTTTTACCGCGAAAGATACCAACAACCCAACATTCATTGGGTCAACCTCTACCGTAACGCCAACATGATGTCGTATAATCCGTTCGACAAACGAATATACATATACGACCATGGCTACCTACTAACCGTGCCTGTTAGAATCACTTGGAGGGCCAAATAACAAAAATTACAAACAATAACTATGTCTTTACTTTACAGTATATAACTCTATATATCACACAGATTTTCTAAAATTCATGACTAGTACCTTGAGCTATGGCATGCCTTTAAAAATTCAATAGTTGGTCCTGCAACGAAAAATTTTTTAATTAAAAATTTCTTTTCTATTTTCTAGTCGTACATTTAAATTATAGACATGTCTAAAGATGAAGTTTAAATCATAAAAATGTCATTTTTTAAATAATTTAACTATATAAATTGTATTTATGTCCACCAATTAAGTAGGTGTAAAAGAATAAACTCGTAATAAAATTTTTTTACCTTGTTCTACTTACAAGGAAAGTGCCCGACCTGCCCCGCTCTGATTGACTTCAAACTTTTTATATAGAAAGATTATGTAAATATATAAGATCTTTAGCAAAGTACTAAATCGCGCTTTTTAGAAAATTTCGAAAAAATCATGATTAAAAAATGACATTCTGAATTTCCTGCCAACTTGGCATTGTGTTTCAAGCTTGTAACTTTGTCATTTTTCGACTTTTAATAGTTTTTCTTTGATATACTAGTAGAAAACCTTTAAATGAACCTACATTTTTAAATTTCTAAGCGTATCTTGTCTGGAAAGCCGAAAAAAGTGCTTGAAACACAATGCCAAATTTGCTAAATTGGCGGGAAACCCAAATAATTTAAATTTGAAACTCAAAAGCGCGAGCTAAAATTTTTTATGGGTACTATTGGTATTACAAGGAACTCATAAAAATTAAATTGCAAATAAAACATATTTTTAGGAGTTTTTAAGCAAAAGAAAGCAGTTTTAGCGACCCTTGCTTTTTTTAAAAATTTAAAAAATTTTTTTTGCGGACCGGACCGGACCCAAAAATTTTGGGTTTGGACCGGTCCGGACCGGACCCAAAAATTTGAAGTTTGGACCGGACCGGACCCAAAAAATCGCCGGACCGGACCGGTGAAAAACGCTCCGGACCGGTCCGGGCAAAACACTGGGTATTAGTGTTAGTAGTGGTAGATATGTAAGTAGGTAAGGTAGGTGTAAAAAGATAGGGTATATTACGAATAGATCACAGTTTGATAGCTTACTCAAGATTCAGTCTACCGCGAGTTCAAGTACCAATAATACAGATAAAATACGTAAATGACAGGTTTATTTAACCAAAGACAGTACAATATATAACGACGCTATGCGTACGTACAAACAGAATAGAACTAGACCAATCGGCGGCTAAGCGAAAAGGCAGACTGATAGATAGTAAAATTGAGACGGTTCAATTTATGCAAATTGAATCGATTCGAATACAGTAGGGCAAAATAGGTTTTTTGAAATAGGTAACGTATGGCAGAGTTGAGCTTGGACTAATATATGTTTGGGGTAGTTCTAAACTACCCTAAACTATACCTTACAATTGTTAGTTCTACTTTTGGCTACTCGAAGATGACTATACCCTACACTATCTTGCTCTACCTTAATCTTTCTCTGCTCTGCCTTACTCCATTATGGTATAGTGGTCTCTATATACAGTTAATCATTTGTATAAGCAACTCTCTTTATAGACAACAAGAAATTTGGCCCCGCAAAGTCAATTTGCACTAAAAAATCACTCTGTAAATGCAACACCCCTATAGTAAATACAAAATGCCGGTCCCTTCGAGTTGCTTACATAGAGAGAGTACTGAATAACAAAACATGTGAAAATGGGAACTATAATACAACCATGAATGCATAGTTTAAGACTACATTTTCTTTATTCATCGAGCATATGTATAACCCTTGATTTATATAATTTTCATTCTTAATTCACAAGGGACTGTTACAAACTACTCCACGCAAATTATAAAACGAGTTATACCGTTGGAAAGAGCGTTAAAAAGTAATCTAAAATCAGCTTTTTTTAGCTGCTGAAACCATGTGGCACGGCCGCTACAGCTCGTTATATATCCTTATATGTTAAAAGAGTATACCTTTAAAGTTCAGAAAATGCTATTTTTTGATAAGTATTTTTTTCTAAAATGAAAGAAAAGTAAAAAATAGGTCTTTAAAAATATTTTTTTAATCAAAATATTGTTTGGCTAGCTAAAACTTCTGGTCGTGATGGCTGGGCGCCAAAATGAAATCGACGGGATTCGAACTCCCCGCCTTCTGCACCCCAGACTAACTTATTAACCACTTGACCACACTGGATTGAAGATTCTATTCATTCGTTTTGCTCAAGACGAATGAGAAGAGTCAAATAGCAAACCCTATGTAAATCCTTTGATCACTAATATATGCCGTGCCATATGGTTTCGGCAGCTAAAAAAGCTGATTTTAGGCTACTTTTTAACGCTCTTTATAACTCGTTTTATAATTGGCGTGGAGTAGTTTGTAACATTGCCTTGTCAGGCGAAAACCTTGAATTCGTGTCCGCGAAAAATCTCTCATAATTTTGTGTGATCCCTTTTTTTGTCTGATTGCAGTCGGCATTAGAGAAAAATTAGAGAACTCACAAAATTATAATAGATTTTTTGTGGACACGAAATCGAGGTTTTTGTCTGAAGTAAGAATGAAAATATATACATCAAGATACATATGTTTGTAGCGAGAATATTACAATAAAGGCAATAGCTGTAAGGTCGATATATAAACAACAGCACAAATTGAATAAATTACAACTTAGTTCATCAATAAATTCTTGTTCGCTCAAGTCATTTAATTCGTAGTAAGCCGCTTCATCTAGTCTTTCTCGTAGCACTGTAAAGTCGTCTATAAATGCTTCAGATTCTTCGTCCTCACTTTCATCATGCCAGTACTCTCCGGCGTAGTAGTCGATTTCAATATCATTGTAATCATTGTTATAAGCAAGTTGGTTCTTTTGGTTTTGTAGCCCGTCGTAGACAATATTATCATCGTCGTCATCGTTATATTCATCATCATTAAAATCTTCATTATTGTCATAATCCTGTAGTTCACCATATCCATAGTCATATTCACTGTCTGTTTCAGAAGAATCAAGTTCATCTTCGTAAAATTTGTTGGTATACCATAAAAACTTCAAGTGTATTATAAAAGGAAAACTATACAAGAAGTACCAAAAAACCTGAAACATTTCTAACTTTGTATACACGACATACCTCACAGAGAAAGTACTTTGCCTGCCCTGCCCAGAATCTGTTGAAAACTTTTATATAAATTCCTTGTATTACTAATAGTACCCATAAGAAATTTCAGCTTGCGCTTTTGAGTTTTAAATTTGAATTATTTCGAATTCCCGCCAATTTAGCATATTTGGCATTGTGTTTCAAGCACTTTTTTCCACTTTACATAGAATCTACGCTTACTAATATAAAAATGAAGGTTTATTTAAAGGTTGTATATCAAAGAACAATTCTTAAAAGACAAAAAATGACAAAGTTATAAGCTTGAAACAGTGCCAATTTGGCGGGAAATTCAAAATGCCATTTTTTAATCTCGATTTTCTCGAGAATCTTCTCGATTTTCTCGAGATTTCCTGGAAAGCACGATTTAGTACTTTGCTGAAGATCTTATTTACATGATCATTCTTTATAAAAAGTTTGAAGTTAATCAGAGCGTGGCAGGTCGGGTACTTTCCTTATCAATAAAAATACTGAATTACAAAACAATTTTTAAAAATTACGTACAATGCTTTGCAAGAATATTTTTAGTCCTTCATGAAAAGATTCGAAAAAAGGGCATAGAACCAACAATAAAACAAATGACAACTTAGTGGCATATTGCACTCGCATACTATCTTTCAACTAAAAAAACATTCATTATACCTCTTTATAATATTATCAGTACAAAACGATGATTTAAGTAAATTTGAATATAAATATATTAAAACCTTATAAACTAACAATGTAAAACAAAATCATTTTGATAAAAACAATAAAAATTTTTTTACAAAAAATTAAGATATGCAGTGATTTACTTACAAACAATAATAAGTAACGTCATTGTACGTACACCAAGTTTCCATTGCAAACGGGTAACTACTGGAATCGTACCGCTCAAGTCTAGGATGTTTGACCCAAAGTAATTGTAGTATTAATCTGGATTGTAAGGCCAACATTTTATCAGAAAAAGCTTTGCAATAACTCCAGGTATTCATGATGAGATAATATTCAAAATAGTTTATCGAATTGAACTAGCCAAATCCTGAACTATAATAGGAACTGACACTTTAAAACGCTTTAACGGAAATGACGCTTTAAACGCATGAAAAAAGGAGCGAATGTATATTATTCCGTTTTATATCCTATAATTGTACTCCAATCGTAATCGAAAAAAAGCGCAAAGTCCGTTCAAAATCTGTATGTACGCCTAAAAGACACTTGGCACAACTTCTCTTTTTTTTTGAAAAATTACTTCAATTTCCTCGAAATTCACGTTCAGTCCATTTTTAATAAAAGGAGAAATCAGAATGGTGGGTCGATCTGCGCCCAAATTATGAAATCTGCGCGTTTTTTACGTTACCATGTCATACGTAAGCAGTGTAACTTAAAAACTAAAATAGTAATTCACAATTCTTCTATACAATTAAAAGCTACTATCAAAACCTCTGATAGAAAAATTAAGCCAAATTTATACAACCTTCGCAAGTTCTCACTGAAAAACCAAAAATTTCCACTGAACTTACGGTAAATCCAGTGTAACTCGGTTTAAATGAAAGATATTCAAATTCGTTTTATAAGAATTAAAGGTAATGTGGTTGTATGTAAAGAGTGAAAAAATTATGATCATGCGGCATTTGGTTCATAAGTTCTCACTAAAAAACCAAAAATTTGCACTGAAATTACGTAAAAAGGACTATAAAAAATTTTTTTTTTAATTATGCAATGTAACGAAAAATCTGTTAATTGTAGTCAAGTTGACTACTATTTAGGGCTTATATGTTTTTTAAAAATCGTCAAGATTTGCCAAATAAAATGGCCAAGTTAAGGCCAAAACTTTTAACAAGGAAAGTGCCCGACCTGCCCCGCTTTGATTGACTTCACAATTTTTATATAGAAAGATCATATAAATATAAGATGTTCAGCAAAGTACTAAATCGCGCTTTCCAGGAAATCTCAAGAAAATCGAGATTAAAAAATGACATTTTGAATTTCCCGCCAAGTTGGCATTGTGTTTCAAGCTTGTAACTTTGTCATTTTTTGACTTTTAATAGTTTTTCTTTGATATACTGATAGATAACCTTTAAATGAACCTACATTTTAAAATTTGTAAGCGTGTCTTGTCTGGAAAGCTCAAAACAGTGCTTGAAACACAATGCCAAATTGGCGGGAAACCCAAGACTACGTATTTTTTGACCAAACTAGCAATAATAAAACGTTTTTTATGACTAAAAGGCAGAAAACATTAGTAAAAACAAAAAGGAAAAATATAATTTTTTCAAACAGTGTTACAAATTATTTTTTATTAGGTCCCGACACGAAAACGAACAAGCGCAAACACTTTATTGGCATAGCGAGTCGCCGCTGCTGTGATCCAAACGGACCGAGCTTGCGAAAGTTACGCTTCAGTATTTTTTTGGCAAAAAGAGTAGTGCACAAATAGTATTATTGATCAATAATAATTCTGTTAGTTCTTCTCTATTGAGTAGTTGCAGCGTTTCATGGGGATTTTTGATCTTTTTGAAAAGAAACAGGTGATTTTCTTATTTTATGTTGTACTTGATGTTGTTTGCTAGTTTTCTTTTGCCGAATAGTTTAGTTATTTTATTTTTAATGTTGTGTGTAGTGTAATGTCGCTTTTAAATATAAAACGTTTTTATTTTAGGATAAAATGGCAGCCAATGTCACTATTGACTGTTTTGGCGAAAAACTTGAAGTCTTGATTCAGAATGAAGAATATGCTGGCTCCGAACTAGTACCCGAAGATGGAGAACAGATTCTTAAAACCGTTGGTGATCTCAGAAATAGGATTGCTGGTCACTTTGGGTTGGTTGCGGACAAAATGAAGATTATTCATAGAGGTATGTATTATAATATTGTCTTTTTGTGTTTAGGTATGTTGAAGCTGGATCTAGAACGCTTTGAAGGGCATTAGAAATTAGATTTTACCCTTTTGGTGTTAGTCTTTACCTATTTTTACTTGAATTTGGGCACATTTTTATGCAAAATTTTAACTGGCCTTCATGTCTTTTGTTGAAAATTTGTTATATTTCAGTATATTACAGGTAAATGTTTTGAACATTTTTGTTAAGTTAGCAAAATTCAAAATATGTATTACAGTTTATTTAGGTTTAGAGGGAAAATGAATATTTGAGTATAAGAACGTAAACTTAAGACCATGGCCGTCTTTTATTTTTCTTCGAATGGGATGAGGAGGGGCCGGTGTTCCTATGAGGTCTTGGGGGGTATCTAGGCTTGGCATGAGGGTAAGGGAGGATGACTTCGCCTTGGCTGGTGTGATATGACACCTTCATTATGTCACTAGCAAACTTGTTTCGTTTCGCCATCCTCAGCGTTGTGAATACGTAGCTAGTAAATAAAGGTTTTTAGTAAAAGATTTTTATATATTTGCAAGTAAGTTAAACGATAAACCCTAGGTTCTTAAGAGCTATGCAAAAAGAATTCTAAATAGATTGTATTTATGGTGTTGCTATCTGTTTTGATTATATATGCAGTGGAACACTGTATAACAAAACTCCTTTATAACGAAAAAATTTCAAGTCTCCGAGCGATTCGTTATACATGAGTTCCACTTTATATCTATATATACATATATATATTAAAAAACTTTCCATGAGCAGCTCAAGAACAGGCAGTGATGATCTGTAGTATTTTATGGTACACAAGGTGGTCCGAATATAGAAAAGCCCAAACGCTTCCTGCAGTGGACAATAACGGATTCACCCTTTGGCAAAATTTTCCTGAGGGGTTACAATCGTATAGAATGTATGGCATATTAGATGTATCAAGGGACCGCCGAAGCATAAATAATGTGGATAGGTACAACACTACCATAAATAAGTGTATTATAGTGCTATCTTGGCCAGTCATTATAAAAATAGTGTATAGCCAATAAATACCGCTAAAAAGCGCAATCAGCCTATATTGACATTCATTTTTAGTATTTACGATAGTGCAGTTCAAATAGGCGGGAACCAGTCCTAGTGTCGCGATTAGAAAGTTGGAATAGTTGTAGGTAGTATAATCATTTTGATCAGCATTTGTAGGTAAAATATTTTAGTGATCGGGATAATTGCTAGAAAAAAATTGAAAATGTTTATCAGAAGATCTAAAAAGTTAATTACAACTTTTTTTTTGTACCAGTACATTTTTTTTCCGAAAAAACGGCAAAAAAGATCAAAATTGTTGAATTTTCTCTTGATTTTTCTGTGAGAACATCAAGGTATCCATCCCTCAGGCCTTGGGTTTGATGACTTTTCAAAGATTGAGTTTTAATGAATATTTGTTTGATGAAACTTTGTATAAACAATTTCTTGTTGATTATGGGTGTTTGAACGTGTTTTTAATTTCGATTTTACTTGATTTCAGTAGTATTTTTTGTATAAATCGTGATGAATAATTACAAATTTTTCATTTTCAGGACAAAATGGTAGCCAATGTCACTATTGACTGTTTGGGCGAGAAACGTGAGGTCCTGCTTCAAAACAAAGAAAACGGTGGCTCTGACCTGAAGGTGGAGAACATATCCTCCAAAATGTTGGTGATCTTAGGAATACGATTAATTTGGTGGACCAACCTGTACATTGCAAACCTGCCAAAAGAATTTGACGAATAAAGTATTAAGAATCTGTTCACTCCTCATGGAATGGTAATCAGTACCAGGGTCCTTCGGTTCGCCGATGGATCTAGTACATGTATTGGATTTGGTCGGATGGAGAGCAAAGATGCTTGTGAATATATTGTTAACGTACGTTTTCGGTTTTATGATCTTTTTGGCTGCTTTTAGGTGTAACATATTGTTAGAAATGTCTTTGAAGATTATGTTTGTAGCTTTGTTTTCAGAAGTTAATCAACATGCAGTTTGCTTTTTAAAAAATTCTTGTTTGCTTAGTATTATGTCGAAACGGCATGTTTTTAGAATTATCATGGTACGCCTCTAGAACGCTACACAGAGAATCTTGTTGTGAAGTTGACTGATTCTGGCACTCGCCGTAAGCAGGAGAGCAGTAATCTCTAAAGCTCTGTTATGGGAGATCAGGTACTGTTTGAGACTGTAAAAACTATTTTATTTGATTAATGTTCATTTGCTTTATGGGTATACAACTTTAACTTGTAATTTTCAGCCTGAAATCGGTCACTGGCAGCCAACCTTACCGTACAACTCGTTCGGCGAAGAAGAACAAACTTTCTACTCATTCAACGGCTTAACTGGCGTAACCTACAGTCCACAAGGATCACTTCTTTCTCTTTACCAGGTATTTGACCAATCTTCCGGTAATTATATATGTACCATATTCCCACTCTTCCAGATGGGCGGCGTGTATCATCAAGGCGCCGTTACCTCAATGAATCAACCGGACACGTCTTCTCGTATCTCACTCAGGTCAACAAGTCGTATACTCACCCCCTCAGAATGTGGACTACTAAAACAAGAACCAAGCCCGGTGCCGGCCTGGAACAAGAAGTGGCCGCTCTCAACATTAACCAGGGCAGGGTCCGTTGGGGATTTAAAAGTTATTTATTATGCAGAAGTTTTGTTATAAAGAGGTTTGTTATACATGAGTTTTATTGTAACGTTATTTTTAATTTTTTATCACTTTCAAAATAGGAACGGGAAGGGGTATACAGTGGAACAGAGAGCCGTTCGATTGTTATTTATTCGACTTTAAACTCCCTTGGACAATTTTAATGTCTGTCAATAATTTTAATAATTTCACGAAAATTATTGAAATCAGTGAGCTCTTCGGGCTATAAATCGCTATTTTAAAATTAGAAATGTTTTTATTTTTGGATTTTTTGAAATTTAAAATTTTATTTGAAAAGAACTGCTTAATAATGGTAAGGGTGGGCAGGGTATGGTATGATAACGTAAAGGGACATGGTATGGTAAAGACAGGGCATGGAAATGTAGAACGGGGCTAAGTGAAGGTTGGGTAAAGTAAAGATAGGATATGTTAGAGTTGGGCAGGGCATGGTAAAGTGAAGGTAAGTATGATAAGTTAAAGTAAAGGCAAGGCATGGAAGGGTAGATTGCAGTGAAGCAAAGGTATAAGTAGGGCGGGGTAAAGTAAGGGTAGAGTAAGGTCAAGGCAAAATATGGCAGGACAGGGTGCAGCAAAGGTAGGGTAGGTTAAGGTAGGGTAGGTTACGGTAAGGTAAGGTAAGGTCCTGTATTGCAGGACTGGGCAGAATACAGTAACGGTAGGGTCGGGTGTATTATAGAAAAGGCAGGATACGTCCAGTTCGTCCTAATTCAAACTTTAAAATTTGTTTTTGAAATTTGAAGTTTTGTAGTTTGAGAACAAAAGTGTTATTCAAAAACGTTTTCATGGAAGTTTCAACCCATTCACTTTGGTTTTGCATATTCAAGTTGTTTAAACGTGGTTTTTAAACTTTTGAATAATACATTGCCTTCACAATGTGTAAGGGTTTGGTTTTTGTTTGGTATAGTGTGTTACTCGTGACAAAAATATTTAAAGTTCAATTTTTTGTAGTTTTGAAAATTACGATGGTATGAAAAAAATGAATGCTATGATGTAGAGTAGAACTCTTGTATGTATAACTAATCGCTCGCGTATTTTAAATTTGTTTGTTATGAAGAAGTTTCGTTACATGAGGTTGTATAAAAAGTAATGAGCTAAGTATTATAGCAGATACAACGTTCAGTAGCTAATTACTTTTTATACTGGTACAGGAGTCTTAAATGCACTCAGGGACGTCGCTAGAGTACAGAAAATTCGTTATAGAGGAGGGCGTTGTACATGAGTTTCATGAGGATCTAGTTATGAGCAATACTAGGCAAAATACATTTTTGTGTTGACTATAGCAAGAGTTTCTTTTATCGACTGTTTTTCACGTTTATACAGGTTGTTCAAGAATAGATCGACGGTTGACTATAAGGAGAGTTACTTTTAAAGGCCCTTCTTTACATGCCAATAGGGTTGTTTAAGTGAAAAATTGACTTTTTTATTAGAATAGATAAGAATAACCACCTGGTTTCCATGCAACCAACTTTAATTTCTTTATCTGAACTTACATTTTAATACTTTTTAACCTAGTTTGGCGTGGATTTTCTAAAAAAAAGTTTTTTTTTTACTTCTCAAGCCTTTGAGCTTCTAAAGGTACCATATTTTGGGAAAAGGGCAGAGTAATGTAAAGTTGTGTAGAGTATAATATGATAGGGTACCTTATGTTAGGACAGGGTAAAGTATTGTAGGGTTACCTAATCCTGAAGTTAGCTGAATCTCAAAAAACATTAATTGAATCTAAAAACCCTTTCAGACGACGTCTAATTTAAGCTGAACCGAGCGGTTTTAAAGGCTGAATCCGAGCGAAAGGCTGTTGAGATCTCATAAGTAAAAGGTCACAGCTCTTCGCAAAGTCGCCATTGACAACTGGCTTATCGTTTCTTGTATTGTCAACGAGACACGGTTCTATAAGATTTAGGGCTTGTAATCGGGAGATGCATCTTGTTATTGTATGTTGACAACATTCGAAGAAGTAGGGTAGAGTGAAGTAGACAAGAGTAGGGTAGGGTAGTGTAGCATAGGGTATAACTTGTTCTAAAGTTATAGGGTACACGTGACTAGGGCATTGTAACATAGCATAGGATAGGGTAGTTTATGATAGTTTAGGGTAATATAACATAGGGTATGACCTGGCATGCTGTGTAGGGTAGAGTAGAAAAAGATAAACTGGGGGGGGATAGAGTAGGGTATAGCAAGGTAGGGTAGGGCAGTATAGCATAGCGTATGTCCTGGCAAGGAAAGACAAGGTAAGGTAAAGCAAGGGAAGGTAAGGTAAAGCAAGGGAAGGCAAGGTAGGGTAAGGTGTGATTGGACAGGGTAGGATAAGACAGGACAGGGTAAGGCGGTCTTTTCAAAAATGTTTACAAATTTGTATAAAAGGTCATTTTTTGTTGTTTTTGAATGTACCGCCTTCACCTCTCAACCCGAACTTTTTTGGCCTATCAAAAAAGTTCGATCAGTTAACGAATATCAGTTGGAGATCTGTATTCGATCAGTTTGCATGGGTTGGAACGTTGAATTTGGGTTCGTTATTACTCATAATAGTTTGATTTATTGTCAAATAATGGTTTTTATGACTCAAAGTATGCTGCAGTGGGTTGGTCATGATTAAGAATGTAGATATACAACATTAAATATGATCATGGTGTATATGTTGAGGTAGGCGTATTGTTAAGTTCTTTTATTTTGGGGAACTTGAATTTTGGCTTAAAAGAAGCCTAAGGGTCTCTGTTATTATTGTGCCAAATAAGTTATTATTATCTTTTTTGGGTTTTGAGATATATTATTTAAGGTATGGTCATGGTGTATATGTTAAGGTAGTTAAAACAGAGAGTTCAGCCCAATTTTAAAAGTTTTTAAATCTTGACTTTTGGTTTAAAAGAAGCTTAAAGATCTTAGTTATCATCGTGCAAAGTATTATTTTATTATCTTGTTTGGATTTTGAGATTTACTATATTAAAATAAGACCATGGTGTATATGTTATCGTAGAGAGAAAAAAAAGCAAATTAAGCCTAGTTTAATTTTATTTTTGTTTTAAAAGAAGCCTAAGGATCTTTTTTGTCATTGTGCTAAACATTTTGTTTTTATTTTTTTTTGTATTTTGAGATACACGATATTCTCCTTCCTTTCAATTTTGTTAATAATTTTTGATGCCTTTCTCATGATTCACAAAACAAAAGTGATGTTTCCTCAATTCATATTTGTGTCTTTGCATCTTCTTAATATATGATGTTGACTTTTGACTCATTTCGCTATTATTTAAAGAGCAATTCCCGACCAAAAGGTTAAACATGCAAAGCGCCGCTTAAAAGTCGCCAAAATTGATAGTTTCCAAGAGCAAAACAAAATATTTTGCAGATTTTTATCTCGCCTAACAATTCACAAAGTCTGTCCAACGTTCCCACCCAAAATCTTTGTTTATAACACCTTGTAAAGCTGTGGAAATTCGATCCGAAGCCGAAGTTCCAGCTGAAAACCAATGTTTTTATTGTTTTCGTCTTGATGTCAACACTATTCGCAGTAAATTATATAAAAAATATTGTGATTTTGATCTTTGTCTTCGTCGGAACACATTCGATTTCACATTTCCTATCCAGAATGCAACATATTTGATTGATTGAAACCACGTCTCTCCAGATTTGCGGTGAAAATCGTGTCAAATCGTACGTTTCGTGGGCTCGGAGAGATAAGAATGCGTCATTAGCGACGAAAACTAGCCTTTTTTAGTCCAATAATGCTTTCTTCTATTCAGATAATACCTTTTGTTTTTTGGAAACGATATTTATTGAACGTGTAGTAATTCAAAGGAATTTGATGGTTTTTGTAACACAAGCTGTTGGTTTCGGTTCCGCCGCGAAATTCAGGGAACGTTGGCGTTTTGTTTCAAGAATAAAATAATTTTTGCAAAATTTTTTAGTGTTTCAATAAGTTTGAAAGTACGATTGACCCAGATATTGTCAATTTGAACTCAACTTTGGACAGTTGTTGCGGTTTGGACGAAGGAATATATTATACTTAAGATCAGGTCAAATGGAGGTAGGTTTTTGAAGTTTTTACTGTGTCTATTGCTTTAGGATGGGTTTGTGATTAATTTTAAAAGGTGTACAAGATGCTAATTAATCTAAAAACAGCACGGTTTGTAAGATATAGCCTTATATTATACGTGTATTGTTTAAAAACATCAACTTTTCCTATTTTAGACCGATCATGAGCGACCGTTGCTGTTCACACTGAAAGGAAAGTTATATGATGTCCGGAAGTTTGCTGAAAAGCATCCTGGAGGAAGGAAGATTCTTGACAAATGTGCTGGAGGTGATTTGGCAGAATATATGAGCGGTGAGACCAGAATAATGGGCCTGAAACATGAACATTCATCAGCTGCCTACGATATCTTGGACCGTTACGCTGTAGATCACAGTATTGAGGTACGTTGGCTTTTACTTTTATTTTTAAGCATTTAGGGAGTATTATCGAGGTATTGTAACACTTTTGGATCACCAAAGCATTTGATATTTATCAGAAAATCAAAGAAACAGCCGTCTATACCTGTATATGTCTATGTCAATATAATTTTCATTGTTCTGAAGAAACTAAGCGGTATTTTAAACTAATCATCCCTACATAATTTGCAGAAGGACAAACTAATAGACGAGAAAACAGCAGTTTTGTTTAAAGTTGGCCATCTGGGACATAAATATTGGACTTGGATTCATCAGCCTTATGAAGGGTCCCTGCGGCTATTTGATTCGGCATTTTTGGAGATGTTAACAAGGACTGCCTGGTGGGTAGTGCCCATGGTTTGGATGCCAGTTGTCTTAGGGTTCGGCGCTTATGGTCTCATGTTGTTTGTTGTTCAATATGGTAGGTTCTACAAGGTTTTAGTTTAAATTTCAAGTGGTTTTTGAGCTGATTTGAGGGTTTTGTAGGTTTGTAAAGAAAATGCTTGCGATTATTATGAGATTACTTTAAAATAAGATGGACATGGTGTTTAAAATGAATTTTTAAAAGATCTGTTTCAACTTCTGCCTATATTAAATTACATTGTTATAGGTCTACTAAAAGGCACTATGCTGGCCGGATTACTCTTCATCCTGGGTACCCTTGCCTGGACACTCCTCGAATACATTCTCCATAGATTCGTCTTCCATTGGCAACCAGATCCAGAGAGCTACAATCAAATCCTTCTCCATTTCCTAGTTCACGGACTTCATCATAAAACCCCGATGGACGGAGAGCGACTCGTATTCCCACCAGTACCAGCTTTAATGATCGTCGCTGTGTTCTACGTATTCTACGTGAACTTACTGCCATTTAACGTATTTTGCTGCTTCGCCGGAGGCAAACTTTTTGGGTATATTGTGTACGACATGTGCCATTACTACTTACATCATGGAGCACCAAAACCGAGGAGTGATTTTCATTTTAGAAAGGTATACCACCATAACCATCATTTTAAGGACTATGATACTGGATTTGGTATATCAACCGTACTGTGGGACGTTATCTTTGATACGTTTGGCTCTGGGCCACTGTGATTCAATTTTTTCTCAAAATTTTAAGTTTTTAACTATATATTATAATAGACGAAAACTGTCATATCCTTGATAGTTTTTGTCATTTCTTTTGAGTTTTTGCCAAAATTTGCCCTTTAGTTTTCACTTTCTATATTATACTTCACAGTTAATATACTTAAGGTCAACTTTCTTTGCTTAAAAACCTTCTTGCCTACTTATCACTTCTTTACAAAGTACAAAATGTCACAGTAAACATATTTTATTACCTTAAAATTATTTAGTACGCTATAGTATCAGTTCTACCATATAGCACCACTTTTTAGTACTAGTACTGTCTAGTTGTACCAATAGTACAATCATGCCGAAAAGTGATAATACTGTCCCGTATCAGCCTCATCTATTGCCTCCAGCTCTTAAATTTTCAAAATTTTCGCATTTTTGCCATTTCAAAGTTTAAAACGCTCATTTCCCCTGCGGCATTTCTCAAAATTTGCATTTTCTAGCAATATTCTCCAGTCTTATCAACGAAAGAATTCAGGACCCTATCCAACAAGTTTTATATCTAAGCGTCCATTCCTTATTCTATAGTTCTTTGCCAATTCTGATGTTATTCTAGGCCTAAATTGATATTGTTTTAGGCCGTTTTTGATATATTGTATGTAAATTGTTGTATCTTGGATAATATCAGATGTTTTCGTAATGTTTGCGATATCAAAAAAGTAGTTTTTGATGCATAGTTTTTGTTGTTTTGTTACCAATAAACTATTATATTGTTTTAGGATAAAATAGTAAAGAAAAGTTAGCTTGTCAGCGATATTGTTGATGTAAATAAGTAGATTGATAAAATATAATTAAAACAAAATAAAACAGCAGTTTTTATATCAAATTTGGTCTGCAAGACACATTGTCAAGAATTATAAAACTGAAAGGTCTTTACAATATCGGGTGCAGGCGACAACTCCTCTGTTAGCTTGTTCTGCAGCCTGCGAACTCTTTTATACGAACGAATAAAAACGCGAGGGAAATTTTGAAAAGCCGAATAAAATTCCGACGAATCTTGTTTTCTCTGTAAATTTAGTGGACTTTAGTAGTGTTTCAATTGTAAATGGACACATCTCAAGCAGATATTCAAGCACATTTTTTGGAAGACGAAGATGCTGTTATTAGAGGTACGTTTTTGATCGTTTTATTATTGTTTTCTGGTTTTAGTGTCTACAGCAGTCTTCGAAGACTTTCATCAGACCTTCAGCAACGATGAGTACACTTTGTCACAGATGTTGAACGAGTGTAAACAGGTAAGGTATTGTTTTAGGAGTTGATTTGCTCAGATTTTTTGAAAATTGGAGTTTTGGTGTGGTGGTTAATATAAAATTGATGTTTGAACTAGGATAAACTGGATTACTCGAGACTTTTCTTTGATTAAAAGTTAGAATAGAGTTAAGCTTTTAAAACTAATTTTTAATCGTTTAGACATTACAAAGTGGAGTAACAGCTCTAAGACAGATAGCTACTGGAGTTCGGCACAAGAGTGGACAGTTAACGAAAACCGCTGGGCTCTTGGCCTTCGAACATGACATTATTAAACTTCTTTGTGATTCAGATGATATGGATAAACAACTTGATAATTCTTCAGAAGTAAGCTACCAGATCTTTAAAAACGACGTTAATTTATATTGTTTTAGGTTATTGTAGATGAAATAAATAATTTTGTGGGTAATTATTTTTTTTTCAGCTTCCAAGTCAACTTCACAAGATTTTAAAGAAGGATAGAGAGTTTAGAAGCATTTATAATTTGATGAAGTGGTGTGAATATCGAAGTAGCGATTGTCCCAAAGGTTTTACAGCGATTTTGGGCGGAGCTGTGGATATTAACATTGAAAAGATTAGGTATGCTTTTGTTTTTGATTGTTTTGTGTTCAGGTGAAGATACGTTAAGGTTTTTACTATCAATTAGATGTTAATTTGTAAGGTTTACTTTTGGAAAACATTTGATTTGAGGCGGTTTATGTTTATTTAATATAACATTAGGTTTATGTAGATGAAAGTCTTTTTTTTCGAAGTGTTAGGGAGTAAAATGAAATTTGTGACGTATAGGTAGTAAAATACGATTTTTTCAAGACGATCAACTAAAAAAATTGTTTTAATTTGACGTTTTCAACTAATATTGTTTTAGAGCAGACCTTCGTAGCTGGACGGCAACAAATGACTTGGATTTGATCTTTTCTGACTCAAACCGACTAAGAGGGCAGTTCGAACAAAGTGCAGTGCTATTATATCAACTTATGGTTGCATTTGTCCGATCTGGTCGGATTGCTTTGGCCGTAGAAGAAGCTGAAAAGGCCGGTTGTCACAACTTGGCCGCCATCTTGGACAGTCGCTCAATTTTCTACGAACTAGAGCTATCAACCGATGATCCGACCGATGAAAACTATGGTTTTATTGAAGCCAGAAAGGCTATGAAGCTAACAGCACAGTCACTATTGTCGAATACTGAGAAATCGACCAGAGAAGAACAACGACTATTGTGGTCGATTTTGGCGGTCGATCAACGAGAAATGATTGCCAGGGCCAATAATTATGAGGACAGTTTATGGGTATTGTTGAATTGTGCGTTAGAGAAGATTTTCGAGCAGAAAACTGATAAGGAGTTCTCGGTGGAGTTGAACAAGCATCAGAACGTCAAGTTTGAGACGGTGAAACAGATCTTTGAAGCTTTGATCGGGGAGGAACAAGGGTCAGCGAGGTAGGGTGTTATATTTGGTTTTTAAAGCGCTGTAAATGCACAAAATCCCTGTATCTTGATAATCTTTTGGTCGTAATATATAGTAAATGAGCCAGGCTGAACGGGTCTTCTTTCAATGTTTGTTCATAATCAATATCATTTCAGCCAAGCCGATGTAGAATTCAAAATCATAGCTTATGTAGCAATGGAGGATAACGAGAAGCTCAGCGCCGTTCTCCGCCAAGAACTCATCAAAGACCTCGAGATGCATACTGTCAGGTTCTACGCCCATTTGGTACTGTTAATGTTGGCAAAAGAAAAGAAATTGCACCAAGATGTCATTGATACAGTACTATTAAAGTTTGTGGACGTTCTGGCACAGTTAGGACTGATCAACTTGTGCCCATTCTATCTGGCATATTGTACTAGGAAGTTGGCTGAAGAACGGTTCATGAAGCTACTGAAAACGATTCAGAATGACGAGGAACGACAGGCCATATTGGCCAGGGCTGAGGTCTATCAGTTTGTGTGAGTTTTGAAATTGAAAAGGGGAAAATTTTGGTTTTTATGTGACAAATTGATAAGTATTTTGATTTTTACGTAACAAAATGAAGAAAAACTGGGTTTTTAGGTAATAAAATAATGAAAAATCATATTTTAGGTAACAAAATGGTGTAGTTTTATATTTTGGGTAATAAAATGACACGAAAAATTTAAGTGTAGGTAACAAAATAAACAAAATTGAGATTTTTAGGTAACAAAAAGTCGATTTTTAATGAAATAAAGTTTAAAAATGGGTCAAAAATTAACAAAAACTAAAATTTGTTACCTAAAAACCTTTAAAACCACCAATTTTCAGGCCTCGATCTCTGTGCACGGCCATTTACCGCCGTGCCAAGCAATCCCTCTTATCGACCAAAGACTCGACTCTCGACCAGGATCTTCTCGAAGCCAGTCGAGCGTGGCATTGGCTGAAGTTGTGTAAAGAGTTGACAATCGAATCACTAATGGAAGCCAACTTTTTATATCGAAAAATGTTCGCCAAAGGACGGCGAGCTGCGGCCACGGATCTGTTCCAAACCCTGCCGGCTGACTTGGCTGAGGATGCTGAGAAATGCTTCAGGGAGAGAGAGGGAGCTGTTGAGGATGGTAGGTCTTAAGATTCACCGATTTTTAAATGGGGGAGGGGGTGATTTTGAAAAAATTTTTAAATTAATAAAATTTTTTTTAAATTTTAATGTCATATCGTTCCTACTTTCAGAAGCCCTCCCACTCGACCTAATTCAAGCCCAACAAGAGTACATTGGCTACCAACGCTACTTCCAAGTGGCCGAACTGTTCAACCAATGGGACCAAACCTCGCGCAAAACTGCACCATCTCTACCAGCCGAAATCCCGGAAGACAAATGGGCTAGACTAGACCTGAGGCGAAGAACAGAGTACGAAATTACAGTAAACGAAGCGCGGCAGTCAAGGGAACGCTACGACAATGTACTACAACAACAAAAGAACGGAGTCATCAGTTTGGCCGAGGAGTTGCTGAGACAGGCAGACAAATGGCTGTGGATGGACGATGAGGATGCGATTGAGGAGCTGGAGGAGGATGCGTTGAGGGTAAGAAGGGGGAGAAGGAAGGTTTAATTGGTCATTTTGGTAAAAAATTTAGGTAATAATGAAGAAAAAATGGATTTAAACTATTTTAAATTTGTTTATTATATTAAGCATGTTTTGACTAAAAATTAAATTTGTTTATATTAAGGACAAAGTTGGAAAAAGTTTTTTAGGTAACATTTTATGTGAAAAACAGGATTGATAAGCACGGTTTGGCGCAGGGCAGGGCATTTTTTTAAGTTTTATGTAAAACCCATGAAAGGGCTCACTAGGCTTAGAGATGAGCAACGGGCCGGGCCTGAAAGTTAGGCCGGCCCGTTGCTCATTTCTAACTAGGCTTGGGCCGATGCAGATTTGAAAGGGGTCGTGCATATGGGGGCCGAAGGCCGGAGCCCAAACGTCTCTGGAGTCTAGCTTAGGCCCCGCAATTAAAGATTTGACATATGAGTTATATTTAGGACACAGAATCAGTGCTATACAAAACAGTATCTTATAGTTTATCAGTGTAATGATTTTGTATAAGTGGCCGGACTGGCACACATGGGCTCATAGGCTCAACCTAAAAGTCGAGCCGAAAAATAGATATCTTTAAAGGTCTAATCTTTACAAATTTTCACGTTTTTGTGACTAGCTTAACTACAAAAGTTAAAAAAAGCTGAAAAAAACGTTAAAAAGTTTCTTTTTACTGGACCTACGTGTTGTCTCGCCTCCAACTTGTTTGTCGTATTTTACAAAGTTGATAAAAATGAAGGAACTGTGTAAAAGATTTGTATAAAACAATGAAAATGCATTTTTAGGTAACTAAATTTAAAAAATATGTATTTTTTAAGGCCTTTTCGGACTATAATAGTTGAAAAAATGGATTTTAGTGGCATCTTTAGGTAACAAACTTTGAAAAAGTTGGTTTTAGTGGCATTTTTAGGCTAAAAAATTGATTTTAAAAATTTTTTTATGATACAATATTGTTAATACTAGTTTACAATATCATATTTTTAGAAATTCAATGAATAGCAATACTAATAAAGAGTGTATTCTTTAGGAGAGACGACAAAGAAACGAGGACATAAAGAAGATCCGGTCGAAATACCTGGTCGAGGTCGTGGAAGCCCTGATCAAAGTTCATCGAACTTCGAAAGATGAAATGGCAGTACTCAATGTAGCTAGGATTATTGTTGATCCGACTTATGATATATTTATGGTATGTTGAATGTTTTTGAAAAAAAATGACATTAGACATACTTGTCAATGCTAGTAATTGTGCTAGAATTATAGTAAAAACGTACTGCTACGATACAGTATGGGCAATATAGAACTAAGCAGTGCTAATCAACGTTAATACGGAAATACGTTGCATATTGATACTGCTATACAGTACTAATGAAACCATACTTGTAAAACCGGGCTACTACGACATAGTACTATATAAATAGTATGTACTTTAGTACTGGATAAATAGTACTTTATAATACTAAATATTAAATAGTATGATGGAACAAATTTGCATATTCATGATGCTATATAGTACTAAAGAACTAATGTTTGGAAAAACGTGTTACTACGATATAGTATAATTTACAACGAGTATTATATTGTAGTAGCACGTTTGTACAACTATTAGTTCTTTAATGCTATATAGCAATTTGAATATACCGATGTGTTTTTTTACTACTATTTAGTGCTATGTAGTACTATTAAGCCAATACTATATTGTGGTGGCACGTTTTTACAATTATCGTTTTATTAGTACTGTATAGCACTATCAATATGCATTTTTGTTATTAATGCTAATTTGTACTACGTGGTACTTATTAATGCTAATTAGTACTACTTGGTACTTATTAATGCTAATTAGTACTATTTAGTACTTATTAATGCTAATTAGTACTACTTTGTACTATATTGTTTATAATTTTGATTGATATTACAGTACTACAATAATATCTATGTTTCAGCTCTTCTCCAAGCACGATCTCCGCAAACTGCTCCAAAGTATTTCGAAGAGTGGGGCCGCTCTCCTCTGATGAGATATGACAAAAGCTAACGAAACAATTGTTATTCTGTTCACTTTTCGATATTAATTTAATGTTTGAAACATAAAAAAGTATAATTTGATTTATCTTGATGGTTTATATTGTTTTACAGCTGTTTAAGGCAGTTTATACCTTTTTTCTGAAGTTTTTTGGGTTTTGTCATGAGTTTTGAATTTTTTTTTATTATAAATGGCATTTTTAAGCTTTTTTGTTATGGAAAGAAAATTTTTGAGTTTTTAAAATTTTCTAAATTTTTAAAAAGCTTTTAAGTTTTGAACATTTTATACGCACATGAGCTATTCTTAGTCTTATCTTCTTCTATTTTTTACTTTTTCTATTTAGTTTTGATCAAGAGTATATTTTTTGTATTTTACGTTGAAATTATATTTTTTAGGTAACAAAATTTATAAAAAACAGTTTTTTGCCGTTTTTAAAAAAAGCATAGGTTTTAAAAACTGTTTTTTCGAATATTTTAGGTACAGTGGAACTCCTGTATAAATAAACTTCTTTATAACGAACAAATTTCACGTCCCCAGCGATTTGTTATACAGGAGTTCCACTGTATTATACATTGGGACTTTTGTATAACGTATCGAGAATTTTGAATCTGTTCATTATAAAAGAGTTTCATTATGTAGGAGTCGCAAATAAATTATCAATAAAGCCATAACTTACTTTCATTTAGCACTGGCCGAATATTTAAAGTTACTTGTTATACGGAATTTTCGTCATTTAGTGGTTCGTATACAGGAGTCTACTGTAACTTTATTGTCAAATTTTTACTTTTATAGTAGAAACGGGGGGGGAGAGGGATACGAAGGAACAGCTGTATTTAAATTTTGCATTGATTGTGGCTTTTTTAGGTCAAAAAGTTTGGAATCGACTGTTACTTTAGGTAACAAGCTAGATTTTTGTCATTTTTAAAGGCACAAGCTTCAAAAACTCATCTTCTTTTCTCTTGCCCTTTAAGACCTTATCAATCTGCTTACCAAAAATTAAAAGACCTCCCTTTTCTTTATTTTTGTTTTTTTTTTCAAAATGGACTTTAACCCTTCTCCCCCCGCATGATCAGACAGAAATGTTGTTTCATTAAGCACTCGTATCTGGTGTCAGGGTCAAGACTACCAAAACTGTGTCTAACAGCCGGTTCACGGCTGGTGTTTGGCGTCATTGGGGGAGGATGGGTCCGGGTAGGACACAATTTGTGTGTTTTTGTTGTGATAAGGATGAGTTTGGTGGCAATTTTGTAGTTTTGTCATATTTTGCTTTGTAAAGAAAGTTCTTGCGGTTTTATGCTTTGTAAAGAAAGTTCGATTTTTTCTTTGTTTAGAAAGTTCTTGCGGTTATCTACCTTGTAAAGAAAGTTCTTGTTATATTGTGCTTTGTAAAGAAAATTCTTGCTATTTTTTACTCTGTAAAGAAAGTTTTTGTTATTTTATGCTTTGTACAGAAAGTTCTTGCCATTTTTTGCGTTGGAAAGAAATTTCTTGCTATATTTTAAACTGTAAAGAAAGTTATTGTCATTTTTCATTCTCCGAAGGTCAATTGCCGTCCCTTACCTTATGGTTGACCCAATTAACTTTGAAAAAACGATTTATCTGTCTTCTCGTATTTGATAAGTTGATAAAAACAAGTAAACAGTGTGCATGAGGCTGGTCTATCACAACTTTTTATAAAAACAAGCCTTGGAATTTGTTTTCGAGTCGCTTTTTGCACTAAAAATGAAGAAAAATCAACGTTTTCTTGCACTTTTCCACCAATTTTAAGCAGTTTATAAGGGTTTTTGATAAGGAAAACGTATTTTTATTTTTAGAAGCCTTCATTTTTTAAATTTTGATGCAAAGTTTTAGAGAAGATGAGACTAAAATGGCAAGAAATAGCTGAAAAGTTAGTCTAATTTTTTGTTTTAGTTTATGCTGCTTATTTTCATGATGAAAATACGACAGAAATTTCGAAAATGGCCAAAAAAGTTGAAAAAAACGAAGGATTTGTGGCTGATTTTTATCATTTTGATTAAAAATGTAGATTTTTTGATGGTTTTTGATTGAAAAATAGTTGGAATTTGCAAAAAAAGCCATTATAAATCTTATGCATGTTCTAACGGTTGATTTTTTTACGAAATAATTTCAAAAAACTTAAAAATTTAGCTTGAAAAACTTCAAAAGAAGTGCATATTAGGCTATTTTTCGACGGTTTTTAGGCTAATTTTTCCTGTTTTTGTCGAAGTTTCCGCGAATTTATGAAATTTTAAATTAAACTTGTGTTTTACAACGATTTTAAAGTATTATAATTGATGAAAAATATATTATAGTTAATGAATTTCATATTTCAGGTCGCTGTAAAGACCTTCAATACAATTTGATAGCTTCTCCACCGATTTGATAGCTTCTTGAACCATGTCCAGAGCCAAGGGTAAGAGTTTTATTTTTCATTTTTCTGTTTTTAGGTTCAAGTTAGTCTAGCTGGAAGTTATAGGCTAGTTAGAACTGGTCTTTGGGCTGGGCTAGGGCTAAAAATTAGAGTTGTAGGTCAGCTTACCTGGCCGGCGAGGTGTGTCAAAAGTTCTGGGACAATGAGTGTTTTGGGTATTATAATCGGCTTTGAAGGTGTGACTGAGGCGTTTTTGGTCAATATTTTGATTTAAAGTTTAGTGGCTTTTAATTTAGGGTTAAAGTATGATTAAAAAGTTTAATTGTAAAGATAGTCCGAGAACTTTTAGACCACTAAACGAACTTTTATACCTATTTTTAGTTCAAAAATCTTTTAAAAAAGCCATTTTTAGTCCGTTTTCGTTAGATTTTTCAACATTTCTGAACTTTTTTGGCTAGTATAACATCTGATATGGTTAATATAGCATCTTTTATGACAAATTTTTTATAATAGTAGGTAGTAATAGGTATTAAAAGCTTCCCTTTTTCAGATATTTTCATTGTCAGTGCCAAAAGAACGGCATTCGGAACGTACGGCGGCAAATTAAAGGGCAAAAACGCGACAGAATTGGCCGAATACGCAGCACGTGGAGCGCTGAATGCTGCCGCGGTTGATCCACAACACATTGATCATGTTATCATTGGTAAGGAATTTTGTTTTTTATTGTGTTTTAGGGTTTGTTAAGAAATTTATGGATAATTGATGGACTGTAAAGAAAGTTATTGCGATTTATTGGTTTGTAAACAAAGTTTTTGCCATTTTTTGTTCTGTAAAGAAAGTTTTTGCTGTTTCACATTGAATTTTTGAAGTTTTTCGTACTGCAGCCTGCAGAAGACAAGTTATACGACAAAACACAATTTTCATCAGTGTATGAATAACATTTTGTCATTTTTTAAATACATGAATATTATTTTAGGTAATGTAATGCAGTCCTCGAAATGCGCGGCTTACCTTTCCAGACATGTGTTACTGAAAGTTGGTATTCCAATTGAAAAGCCGGCTGTCACTATTAACAGACTCTGTGGATCCGGCTTCGAATCCGTCGCGCAGGCTGCTCAGGTAAGGTTTTTTGGGTTTGGTACAGTGTTTTGCCGGACCGGGTCCGTTTCGGTCCGGATTTTCAAAAATTGCAAGATTGAAAATAACTTTTAAGCTTATGGTTTGAAGTTTTAAAAAATAAATAACTTTTGTGAAGGTCCGTCTCATACAAGTTCCTCGCTAAACATTTGGCCGGACCGAATCGGTCTTGCCGGTCCGGGCGGTCCATTTCGGTAATAACTTGATAACCAAAGACGGACCTTCACAAAAGTTATTTATTTTTTAAAACTTCAAACCATAAGCTAAAAAGTTATTTTCAATCTTGCAATTTTTGAAAATCCGGGTCGGATCGGTCCGGCGAAACACTGGTTTGGTGTTGTATAAATAATGGCATTTATGAAATTTTGGACATTGCTTTTGTCGATTTTGCTGTTTTTATTTTTTTAGGTAACAAATTTTGGTTTTTTGACGGTTTTAGGTATAAAAATGAGTTGGAAAATGTATCTGGAAAGAAAGTTTTTGGCATATTTGATTTATATTGATATAGTTTTTGAACTTTTTATAGTTTTTTGAAGTTTAAAAATGATTTTTTTAGCAAATTATCGCCGGAGATTCAGAAGTCGTTTTGGCTGGAGGTACCGAAAACATGTCTCAAGGACCATTCGTAGTACGACAAGGACGTTTTGGTATCCCACTTGGTGCTAAGGTCGAGGTAAGTACTACTTTTCATATTTTTTTTAAATTTGAAATTTTGAATTTTAAAGTCTTTTTTTCAAAATTTACAACTTTCTTCAATTTTTTTTGTTTTTCAACCAAAATTTAAATATTTTTCAAAATTTTTTAGTTTGAAGACGCGTTATGGGCTGCTCTCACCGACCAGTACACCCAAATCCCAATGGGCGTGACGGCCGAAAAGCTGGGCGCCAAGTATAAGGTAACGAGAGAAGAGGTCGACGCTTATGCCCATAACTCACAAACCAGATGGAAGTTGGGTAAGATTGTATGAATTAATGAAAGAACATTTATTTTTGTATCAGAGAATGATTTTTTTTAAATTTTGGGTTAGTCGGATCTAAAGTTATGAACGTTTTTGCACGGTGCAGTCTTATTTGCGGGTTTCGCCGTGAAGCACTTTTAATGGAGTTTTTCAGTTGTTTAGCTATATGAAAATATTCGAAGTGGTAAAATAATGAAAGGCAGTTTACTTTTGCACCAGAAAAAGGATTTTTTAATATTTGTTGTCAGTTGGGTCATAAGTTATGACAGTTTTTGCACGGTGCAGTCTTAAATTTGGGAATGCGCTTCGAATTTTTAAGACTTTATGGGAGATTAGCTATCTGAAAATGTTTAAAGTGGTAAAATATTTAAATGCCGTTTATTTGTGTACCAGGAAATGATTTTTTTTAAATTTCTGTTTAGTTTGTGGTTCAAAAGTTGTTAGCTTTTTTGCACGGTGCAGTCTTATTTGGGTGTTTTGCCGTGAAACACTTTTAATGGAGCTCTTGAGATGTTTAGCTAGATGAAAACATTTGAAGCGGTAAATAATGAAAAGCCGTTTATGTTTGTACCTAAAACAGAATTTTTTATAAATCTTGGGTTTTTTGGTTTAAAAGTTATGAGCATTTTAGCACGGAGCTTATTTTAGACGGTTTTTTGATTTTTTAAATGTTTTGAAGATTTTCTTATCTTTACTGTCTTGTGAAATGCTTTTTTTACCCTTTACATTGTCTAACTTCTCATATTTTAGCCAACAACGCAGGCTACTTCAAAGCCGAAATCGAGCCACTAAAACTGAAATCCCGAAAAGGAGAAGAATCCTTTGAAGTCGATGAACATCCCCGTGAAACCACCACAGAAGCCTTGGCTAAGTTGCCCCCAGTTTTCCAAAAAGATGGACTAGTAACAGCCGGTAACGCTTCCGGCGTTTCAGACGGAGCCGCCGCCGTAGTTGTAGCCAGTGCCGAAGCCGTTCAAAAGTACAAACTTCAGCCATTGGCGCGGCTGGTCGATTGGAGATCGGTCGGCTGTGACCCATCAATAATGGGTATTGGTCCAGTCGGAGCCATTGAATGGATTCTGAAGAAACACAAACTCAGCTTCGACGATATTGACCTAGTTGAGGTGCGTCTTCGGCTATTTTTTTATGATTTGTTACCTAGTTTTTGAGAATCATTGTTTAGAGAAAGATGTAAAAGGATCTCCTTGATCATATACAATCTTTTATCTATTCAAAAATTCGATTTATCACCCAAAAACCACTAAAATCAATATTGTTTTAGGTAAACGAAGCCTTCGCCGCCCAAGTTTTGTCAGTCCAAAAAGCCCTCCAGATTCCAAACGAAAAACTGAACGTAAATGGCGGTGCCATCGCCCTAGGACATCCATTGGCAGCTTCCGGATCCAGAATCATCGCTCATTTGTCGCACGAACTCCAACGCCGCAACGGCAAATACGCCATCGGATCGGCTTGCATTGGCGGCGGCCAAGGCATTGCGGTTCTATTGGAAAGAGTCTAAACTTGTCATAAATTAATTTCGTTATCTAGAATAAAGTCGGAACGTGAATTTTGGGATTTTACATGGTAATTTTCGGCGTTTGGTACAGAAAATACTGGATTGAGTTAGGTCCCACCACGAAAAATTGAGGTTGCGAAAATTGTTTGGCATTCTGTTTTATTATGTGATTTTTTAATAAAATATTACTTTAGGAGGGAAAAGTATTGTAAGTAGACAGTTTTTGAGCATTTAAAACTTGTTTTGTTATTTGTAAGTTGTTTAAAATATTTATTATATTAGCTTTAACATTTTAGCTTGCAGTTATGAAGGATATTAAATCTAATATGGCTTTAAAATCGTGCTGTTTCAGATCAAACTGGCCGCGGCTGTGAAGAAAGGTGTTGCCGGTTTTGTGGCTTTTGAAGTAGCTGCTTTAGCTATTTCATACGGTACATTTGTTCAGTTGAGACGAAACGAATCAGCTCGAAAGTATTTGCACGACCATTGCCCGGTTATCTTGAACTTGTATTATAAATCGGAAGACTTGATCTCCGGAAACCATCATTCAGGACAAGCCAGAAAGCATCTTGATAGAAAGCTCTGGAGTGGCGAACAAAAGGAACCAGAAGTTGTTTAGGAACTGATTTGAGCAACATTGTTTTAGAGTGTAAGTTTGATGTTGTTATTAGTTTTTTGGTTTTTAGGTGTTTCACGGATGATGTAATGTGAAGTATTGGTATCGTTAGATGAAACAGGCTCTAAGGAATGATAATTTATAAATGTTTGACAGGGGGTTGTTGCTGGCACAAGGTATAAGCTGTTTCAGTAGGTATGCACTAAAAGATAACGTCTTTTTGTTGCTTTTGTGAATTTTGGCAGTTTTTTAGAGTGAGTAATAAAATTGCGGCTCTACTAGATGTAGATGGTTTTGCTCAACGTATTTATTAAAATTTTGGCTTGTATGTTGTTTTCGACAAAAGATATGAGCTGTCGTTTGTAGGTATACCCTATAAGATTGGTTAGCTGTTTTTTTCCGAATTTTTGAAACTTTTTGGCGCTGTTGGGGAGGGATTTTGATTTTATTAGATAGAGAACACTTTAGCACATCTTTCTATGTAAAATATAGCTGATAACATTAAGGTATTTAAAAAAATATGGTAAAATGTAATATTAACATATGTATCGGACGGAGTGACTGTAACAATAAACGGACGAGAGGCTTATTCGAAAATTTTATCATTTCAGATTAACAATGGTCTTTTCAAAAATGTGGAACAAATTCCTGAATCATCGTTTGACTTGGCACGAAAACCGAACGTTTTTAATGGCTTCGGCTACTGTGGGTGGCCTTATATTTTGGGGTTGGTACCTAGAATGGTATAAGAACAGGGATGTTTCTGAGCCAATGCCAGAAGAATCTTATAGACAATACGTTAAACTTCAAGAAAGACATGGCAGAAAAGTTAATTAGTTGTGTTTTGAGTTTGAATGTTAATGTTAATAAAGGTTATTAGGCTATGTTTGGTTTTCGGAGCTGTTTTTGAGGTTATAAGCCTAAGGTTTTACTTTCTTTTATGTTTATTAAGGTTACAACCCTCAATTTGTTCTTGTCCTTTATTTTTCTTCGCAAGTTTCTTTATATCATATTGATTATATAAAGGATGACCAATTTTCCAGATGTCAGGCCCATTTCAACGAATGCCTCCGGCTCCAACGCCTCCATTGAAGGGCTCATTCCCATTAGATCACGATAGTCAATGTAAAAGTGAAATGTTCGAGTATATGCGATGTTTGAATAGTCAGCGATCTATGGGCGGCGAATGCAAACCCATCGCCAAACTTTACCTACAATGCAGGATGGACAAGGGCCTAATGGAGTCAGATGAATGGAGCCGGCTTGGATTTAACGAAGAAGACATCAAGAAGGCCGATCAGCTCAAAAAGAAGTGATTTGGTGATTAAATGGATGTTTTGGTGGTTAAGATGAGGTTGTACATGCTACATTAGGATTATAATACTGTTTTGGAGGATAAAATGGCATCTTATATCCTAAATAAGTATTAGAATAGTGTTTTAAGGGATAAAATGACGTTTGATGAGCTAAAATTAAGGTTTCGGGCTAGAATAATAGGATTTTTCGAGGAAAACGTCGATCTTAAGTTGTGAAAATTTAGTTTGAAGGCTTTTTTTAATATGAAAATTTAATAAATTTTGATGAATTCGGAATCAGAAGACATTGTTTTACTTATCTTCTCACAGTTTTACTTTAGTTTTGGTTAATTTTTGCAATTATCTGACCGATTTCCTCTAGAGAACTATGTTGTTTTAGATGACCTTCTTGTTTTGATAATTTACCTTTAACTTACAGAGAAATCTCTGCTATTTACAAGTTAATTTTGTTGTATAAGAATTGAGGGTGTCATATTTTTAAGAATTCAACATGGACGTCGTTTATCTTATTAGATTTTACTGGTGTATATTGTAGTAGATGATCTGATGAAACTAAGTGACTTCAGTCGAAATTTGGTTGATTTTTAAAATGTTTTTGTTATTTTTGAATAATTCAGTCTCTTTTATACAGTTTTTTTTAAATTTTTGACTTGAAGCTTGTGTTGATTTTTATTTTTGTAGGTGTTCAGATAAAGTTTGATGAACTTGAATGGACTTTTGCCGATTTTTAGTGAACATTCGTTGATTTTTAGTAGCTTTTAGGTTTTTTGTAACAATTGGCTGTTTTTGTTTGTTTTTGAATAAGAGGGATATTCATTTTTATCGAAAATGGCAAAAAATTAAAAATTTTTTTTAACTAAAATCGCCATTTTTGATGTGACAAAAGCTCAAAACAAGTTTCTAAATACATTTTTAAATAGCTTTTTTGATGTTTTTTATTTTGCAATGCTTTTCCCGACCGGTCGGATGTTGGGATGCGAAATACGACCAGTTAAAATGGGGTTATGGCTGTTGATTACTGTGTCATTGATAGTGAACATAAACGCCGATAACGATTGTAAACTGACTTATGTAAGCAACAAATTGTAAGTGGTTTTACTGGGGTATAAAGGCAGTTTTAGCTTATATAAACATAAAATTGTAATTGGTTTTACTGCAGTGTAAAGAAATTTATTTTACTGTGCTGTAAAGAAAGTTTTTCTATTTTTGGGTGATTTTATTTGCTCAAAAGGTTCATACCTTCTGGATTTCGAAGTTATTTTCAAAATAATTTAATGCCACTTTTTCAGACGTGTCAGCAACGCAAAATGTCGCGAGTTCAACATTCATACAACCATGGATCGAACCAATAATTTTGGTTTTTTTGTCAGTGGAATATTGCGACCAAAGCATGATACCAAGTATGTTTTCTGAGGGGTAAATACGGGATGTGCTGACAGTATGTTAAAGTGGAAAGGGGCAGGCTTTAAATGGTAGCCAAGACTTGGAAAGTAAGCCTGGGTCTTAAAATGGAAAATTTAGTTTTTTGGTTTAGTTACTGTTAATGTTTTGTGGTTTTTTTATGGGTACAACTGGTTGCAACTATCAATAAATGATTTTAAAAAGTCAATTCAAAACTATTTTTTTTTCATTTGTAAGTTCTAAAGCGTAATACTGTACTCTTTCTATGTAAGCAACCCGAAGGGACCGACATTTTATGTTTCTTGTAGGGGGTGTTGTCTTTACAGAGTAATTTTTAGTGCAAGTTGATTTGGCGGGGCCAGTGTTTTGTCCGGACGGGTCCATAGCGTTTTTCATCGGTCCGGTCCAGCGATTTTTGGGTCCGGTCCAAACTTCAAGTTTTTGGTCCGGTTTGGCAACACACTGGGCGGGCTAAATTTCTTGTTTACTTTAAGGAGAGTAGCTTATATAGAGAGTTCACTATATATATATAGAGACCATTCTACATGTCCTTAAACGGGACAGGCTGGGCCAAAGATTTTTTTAACTAGGCCGACCTGAGAAACAAAATCTAAAAGAGCCTGGATTAGACGCGTGGAGCTTGGGCCTAGGCCGGACTTATCCTACTCTACCTTACTCTATTTACTCGACGCCACTATAGTCTACCTTATCCTACACAACCCTACTTTAAAAAGAGAGAGAAAGAGACGAGAGAGGGAAAAAGAAGGAGAGATAGATAACATAACTTGTTCAGTTTTGAAATTTAAAAATATGGTCAAAAGTATTATACATATTAAAAATGACATTCCTGTCCTTTTTCAGTGTGACATTTTCATTTGGAAACCAGAACTGTACGGCTTTACATATTAGACATGCCTCAAATGACCATGGATCTTCTATTTGGGTGTCTGGTGGTGGTGAGTTTATTTTAAACCTTGAAAACAAATCATATAGTAGGTGGTATTAGCTTAATATGCTGTTTTCTTACAAAAAAATCTACTGTAACATACAAAAATTGATGTTATAGTAGACCTTATAAGCTTAATATACCCTTAATTAGTCCAATACCAGCCTAATATAACTTAAATTCTAGAAAACAATGTCACCACAACGACGGAAGTTAAAGTAGAAAAGGTGGAGGTCAGATTTATTACCGAATCTTTGGTCGAAGTCACTGCTCCAGGCCAAGGAAGCCCGTTGAGGTATAATGTACCATGTGGACTACACGAGACGATTGAAGGGCTTTCGAGAACGGTAGCTGTCCAGGTCGTATACGGTGGAGAAGATAAGACGAATCCAGTCATCGTCGAGTTTGTAAGTGGATTTTATACTGTAGATTGCGGCAAAGTACTATAGGTTATAGTAGGTATGCGTAGGGTACAGTAGCTTGGGGTCGGGCATGGAAGGGCTTTGAAAGATGCGGTAGAGTACTTAAGGGCACGGTAGGTTAGTGTGAGTTACGGTAGATTACTGTAGTTTAGTTTAAAGTACTTTATGTTCTGGTAGAGTACTGTTTGTTAAGGTAAAGGGTACAGTAGTTTGGGGTAATGTATGGTAGAATACCGTAAGTTACGGTCGGTTACTAGGAGTCTTGTTAGATTACTGTAGATTACGCTAGGTAAGCGTAGGGTACAGTAGCTCGGGTTATGGTGTGGTAGGGCACTAAAGGTTACGATAGGGTACTGTAGATTAAAATATGTTTTATGTTTTTGTAAGGTACCGTAGGTTACGGTAGAGTATTGTATGTTACAGTAGGTTTTGGTAGGATACAGTAGCTAGGGGTGTGGTATGGTAAGAAATTAAAGGTTACCGTAGAGCACTGTGGGTTATTCTAGAGTACTGTAAATTAAGTTAGAGTACTGTAAGTTATGGTAGGGTAGTGAAGAGATTTTTTGTAGTTTGCCGGTATCTCAAGCATTTCGGTGATCAACGCTGAAGACCATTCGAAACACAAAGCAGGCCATCACATCAGAAAAGCGAAATATTACGCATCAGAGAACACCGATTCTTGGCAGTATCCCCTCATCTATCTTGCTGCTCTATTGTAAGTTTAATTCTTTACGTACTATTGTGCACTATATCTGGGGCTTGATTTGTGCTTTTGATCTATAAAAGTTTTTACGTACCATATAGCATCAGATAATTTTGACGTACTATGCATGGACTGTGCTGTTTTTTTTAAGCATTTAGTACTAAAAGGCAATACCGTGCAACATAGTACGAAATAAACTGCATGTACTATAGATTATTTTACGTTCTATATAGTAGTATTGGCCTTTCTTGGTACTATGTAGTACTGAAGAGAGATTTTGCGTATTTTATAGTATTACACAGTTTTTTCATACTATACAGTACTGTCGACTTTTATTAGTACTATATAGTACCAAACTATTGTTTTTGTACTATATAGTACTAGCGGTTTTTCTATTATAAATACGATATAGTACCACTCAAATTGCTTCGTGTTATATAGTAATATTGACTTTCCTTCGTACTATATAGTACTGATGAGAGATTATGATTACTGTACAGTGTTGCATATTACCTTGATACTATGGTTACAAAAAAAAGGTTTATAAAATAATGATGGACATTTTTCAGCTGTCTCATGATCTGTTTGGGCTGTACGATCGGATTGTACTATAGGAAACGAATGTGGACGGTAAGTTTTAGGCTTTGAAATATAAAAAGCTATGTTCAGAGTCATTATTATATACCAAAAAGACATTTTAAAAATTTCCAGACCGAAAGAATGAAGCAAGCGGAAGAAGAGGCCAAAAACAATCAAAACCCACAACAACAACAACCAAAGTCGACCAAGGAATCGACCAAAAAGCCGCCGGAAAAGGAAAAGTCGGAAGAATCCTCGAAGAAGTCACGGTCAAAGGAAGAAATCAGCGGCAGTAAATCCAGGAAAGGATCGAGAGAAAGTGTCAATTCGAAAAGTACCCAATCTTCGGAGTCCACGGCCAATGAACCGAAGAGTGGCGACTCCAAAGCTCGAAGATAACGGCCGAAAATGGAGATTTTTGGAGTTTAACTTTGAAATTCTGGGAGATTTGGTCAGTTTGTAGAGGTTTTTGGTCATTTTCGATGTGTCTTGGGCCGTATTGGACTGGTTTTGAATGTCATTCGGAGCTGTCTTGTCTAATATAATATCCACCGATATTATCATAGATATCAACGTATTTCTTTTCATAAATATATCTGTATCTCTACGCTTTTTGGTCTTTTCTTTTCATCAATAGCTAAAGTAGATGTAGATCTTTCATAGTTAGCTAATTAACAAAGCTACATTACCTCTAGTCTACCAATCAATCCAATTTCATACAAATGTCCTGACTTTATTGTTCAAAACCAATATTATTCGTACAAACCTATTGTGGACCGATCGCCGCCTTTTCCTTTGGCAGCTCCTTCTGAATACTATTCAATTCTTCGTCCCACGACTTTTCGATCTTGTTCCAGTGCTCCAGAATCTCCTTCTTACGAGCCTCGCGCCGGTTAAAGTAATATGGGTATTGTTCACGGTCGGGGCCGGTCCACGACTCGGTATCCAACAACGCATCATGACTCTCACGTTCGCGATCATACGACGAACCTTTGGGATCGAGTGGGACTGAAATTGGCAGTTTATGTACCTTTGGAAACTTAGGCTTGAAACAATGTGCTAACTCTTATTTTTAGAAAGGGATACTGTTATAGGTTTTATGAAGTTATTTTTTTTAGACCCAGAAACGAATTTTTAGCTTCCGAAAACTGCCAGCGTTCCTCGAAAAAACGTATTATAAGCAAAATTTTAATATTATAATACGTGGTGTTTAAGAAATGCAAAAACTTCATAATAAACTTCTAAAACATATGCTGAGACCTATAAAAAGATGAAGTAGATTCAGTAGAAGGTATTTTTTGTGTTGTTCAAGGTTAGGTGATCTAAAACAAGAAAAACCGAAGAAAATACTTACACCTGGCTGGTTTAAATGCCCGTTTTTCCCAAAGCTCGCGGCAACCATCAGCCAACAACACCTGAGCTTTACGAGTATCTTTCTCATCGGCCGCAGCATCAAATCGAGCTCTCAACAATACCTGATGGTATCTAACGGCAACACTGAAAAAGAATAGTTAAAGGCTCAAAATCATGCCCATTTTTTGAAATTACAGTCCTTACGTCATGTTTCATTAAAATTTTAAAGTTATAGTTTGTTCAAAATCCAATTGACTTACTGATCTCCACCATACCACGCAAAAACCTCACGTAAACCGCGTTTATATAGACGTTGAACCTTTTGTCTGTGGCTCAACGCCTTGGAGAACATCCAAGCCGGCGATTCCATGCTTGGTTCTGAAAGAAAAAACTATAAGTTTCATTTTAACTATAAATTTAACAATATTAACTTATAATCAACATGAAAAACATCGCAAACATAGAGAACATACGAATATTTTTGCGAAAAATAAAAATCTTTGCTTGCCACGAAATGCCAATGATTTGTTTTCGCGATAAGACGAAAAGGAATAAAATAATTTTTCCCAAGAATTTTTGCAGATTTTATTTTGCTACTGCTTTTGGTATATTCCCAGTCGTTCCGGATCGTATTCACACTAACACAGCACTGGCGATTCGGCCGCGCGTCGTGGTGGATGGTGATATTTCGGCCGATTTTGAAAGGTTTGCATTCGTTGTCAATATGTCGATGTTGCAGCGTTCCCAGTGGTTGGTTTTTTGGCGTACCGTCGCTGTATTGTTGTGGTTTTGTTTTTAGGTGTGAATTTTTCCTGGTTTGTTAAGATTTGTGTTGAAGTCGCTTTGTTTTTGGCCGTACAGCCTCTTCTCGCGCGATTTGATGGGCAAGTGTAATATAAAGGCGAAGGTTGTGCCGAAATGAGTGGGGATGGACGCAATAGTTGGGTCATGGGTCAGAGAGGTTGTGTTCTCGATGTTTGTGAGGAATTGACCGGGCATGACCTTTTATTGCGTTTTTTGGTTAGGATAATATTGTTGATGTAGGCATGGAGGCGAAAATGAATTTTAATATGTGATTTTGTTAGAAAGCAGTGTGAAATAGAAGTTTCTAAGATATAAATTGTTAATTGTAAAGTTTGCAATGTAATTTAGTTTTCTGAATGAAGGTTTCATTATCTTATTGTTGATATATATATTAGAGCGAGATTTAAGTTTTGAAGAAAGATGGCCTGGTTTACTGTGGTTTTTTGTTGGAACTCTTTTCTCAAGAGATTTTAGTATATTTTTAAATTACCACGTGTTAAACTTGGTCTTTAGTATTTGTGTTTTGGCAAGGATAATATAGTTGATAAAGGTCTCGAGTGAGAATTTAAGTTCTTCAGAAAAGTATGGAAAGGGCTTTGAAAATTTTGGTATTTATACGTTTCAAAGACTCTAGTGCTTTTTTTCAAGGTGTTAAGACTAATATTGAGCTTGGATATTGGGCCTAATCAGTGATATTAAAATTAAATCCATATTAAAGCTTCTAATTTGGCCAAACTTGATATAAACCCAGGATTTTTGGCCTAGTAGTCTTAAGGAAAGATTAAAACTATTGAAATTAATCAAACAACTTGTTTATAACTATTTCCAATACAATTTTTAAAAAATTGTAATACGATTACTGTACGAAATTAATTATCAAATCAATAGGCAAATATCAATTCTAAGCCTGGATTTGACGCAAATAGGCCCTAAAATAAGGGATTAGGCTGTTTAAGCAGATTAGGGGTGGATCCTATTGAATATGCTGTAAAATGGGGAGGACTGTCAACAGTGGCCCCATATTTCTTGGCCGCTGAGTTATGGCCTTCGGCTTGTTCTTTTGTTTTTGTCTTACAATATTAGATAAAGGCTTGAATATCGGCCGTTTTTGTTTGAATTGGTTAGGATTTCGTTGATTTTTAGTTTTAAAAATGTTAATTTGTACTTTTTTTGGATATTAAGTATGGTTTCATTTAATTTATTATAGTTATTGATAGAGAAAAATTATTAAAAAAATAAATTTTACGCGGAAATGACATAAATTGTGTCTCAGATAAACCTCTAAATGGCTGGGCCACAATTTTCCGGCCCGGTCTTTTAAAAAATATGTTTTAGCTCAGGCCGGGCCTAGCGGCCCGGGTCTCAAATGTTTTGACGTCTTTTCGACATTCCAAATGACTGAAAACAATTAACAGGTCAAAAGAACAAATTCGCAGACGAAAATCAAAGAAAAACTACTGAAAAAATGAGAAAAAACCCCATGGCCAAAAGCGGCCGAAACAAGACGTTAATCTCTGTAGGGTAATATAACTGCGTCCTTTGACGTTTTTTTCACTATGCGAGTAAATAAGGTTAGGATTTGTTAAAATAGTAAATAAAATTGGGGGTTTTCGCGAGGATTAATGCTGTTTTTGGCAAAAAAGATGGTTTACAATGTTAAAACTTTACGTTTCGGGGTGGTAAGTATAAGAAAATGTGGGGTTTGTTAACCTTGTAGTGACAAAAGGTTTAAATGCAAACATTTTTAAAGCTAAAGTATAATTTTAGCTAGCTTTTTTTTTATTTTAAATCTGAAAAGAGATTAAAGTAGGGAGTGTTTTTAGGTATTCAAAAATGTAAAAGCTAGTAGTTTAAGTATTTTACGAGATAGAAAAGTCAAGTATGACATAGATAAGGATCAATCCTATTGGTTTTCTGAAGTTTTATTCCCAAAATAGTGAAGTTAAACTAAAGGCCGGTATTACTTTTTAAAAAATAAGCTTTAAAGTTGAGAGAAAAATAAAAAAATGTACGAAATGACATTTTTGATTGAATAAACGTTTGTTTATGGACTGCAGCGTCAAGTTTATATTTAAAAATTTCTAAATTTAATGTTTTTGGGTAAGTTTTCTCTAATTTTCTTCCGTTTACAAACCACAAAGCCAATAAAACAACTTGTGAAACCATTTAGAACTTAATGTGTGAAACATATTAATTATTCTTTTACTAGTCCTTTAAACTCAAACGAAATTTTCCGTTTTTTTATGTTTAAAATTACTCTGTAACATCTACACTTAAAATTAAATCCTTTTTGATGTCATTTAAAAAAGTGCAATGTAAAAGTTAACTTTCAATTTTTTTGTTGTTTCATGAGTTATTTTACTATATGTTACAGTTTACTTTACCTGTTGTAAGTTGTGAACCTAGTAAAACAAACTGTAACAGATAGTATAACGACTTTTGAAACGTCGAAACAATTATAAATTAACTTTTTGCATTGCACTTTTTCAAATGATATCAGAAAGGATTTAATTTCAAGTGTAGATGATATAATTACAGAGTAATTTTAAACATCAAAAACAGGAAATTTTGTTTGAGTTTAAGAGAGTAATAAAAGAACGTATAACATGTTCCACACACTATGTTCTAAATTGTTTTACAACTTGTTATATTGGCTCTGTGGTTTACAAACGGAAGGAAATTATGGAAAATTTATACAAAAAGATTAAAATTTAAGAGTATGCTAAATTTCAAAAATAAACTTGACATTAATAAGTAAGCGTTAATTTAAACAGAAATGCCATTTTGTTTTTTTTTAGTTTTTTTTATTTAATTTTACGGCTCAACTTAAACTTTAGTATTTTAGGAAGGAAATGTTAAAACACTAATAGGATTGATCTTTATCTATGTCATACTTGACGTTTCTACCACTTAAAATATTTAACATACTAGCTTTTACTTTTTGAATACCTAAAGAAACACTCTCTACTTTAACCTCTTTTTAGAAAAGTTTAGTATATGAGAAAGTTTAAATTTTTAAAGGTTTTATAGATAGTGAACACAAATTAATAAATTTTAGCAATGGGCTTCGTATAAACGTTTGCTAAAATTTAAAATTTTGATTTAGAATTCGCTGCTGGTTAAAATGAGAAGCTCGTTTCCAGCGCTAAAGTTCAATTTACAATACGTTGCCCTGGCATAACATTGTTTTAACAATACTTTCACCCAATTTAACTGTTGTACACCTATAATATTCATACTTTTTCTCGTTTTTTTATTATGGTTTCCCACATTTTCCGCGTAATTTGTTTCAAAAAACTTTTGTTTTTTGTAAAAATTTGAAAAATTACTTGCTTGGTTAAAAAGTTCGTAGAATTTTTGGCTGAATTTCGCGCTAAACTGCACTCTTTTATACAACATTTGATATGATGTTGTTAAAATATTTAAAATTTTTCGATTTAAAAGTTAGTCGAGTCATAGTCAAGAAGCTTGCCAGCCTTAAATTTAAGGTTTTTGGTCAAGAAGTTTATGGCCTTTTGATCAAGCTAGTAAACATCTTGATTTCAGATTTTAAAATTTGTATTTTTAGCGACAGTCGGCTTCGTGATGACTACTAAAATCCGCCCAATCGTTATGACCGGCGCGTCTGGAACGGGGAAGAGTACGTTGTTGAACCGTGCCCAGAAAGAATATCCAGATGCTTTTGCTTTCAGCGTTTCTCGTAAGTTTTCAAGGGGACGTAGGGGCCTAAAAGGTACTATTTTTACACAGTAAATTCTATTTTATACCTAAAAAGCACTGTTTATACTTAAAAAAAACTTTTATAGACACAACACGACAACCAAGAGACGGTGAAGTGCACGGCGTCAACTACTATTTTGTGGATCGAGCAGAAATAGAAAAAATGATCGAAAATGACGAGTTCGTAGAGAATGTGGAGTTTGGAGGCAACAGATATGGTACATCGAAAATGGCAATTGAAAATGTCCAAAAGAGCGGGAAAATTTGCGTATTAGATCTGGATCTGAACGGTGTACGAAGCTTGAAGGATCATCACATGAACTTCAAATTCATTTTGGTTAAGGCTCCTAGCATGGAGATTTTGGTGGGTTAATAGCGATTTTTTAACCATTCTCTCTTTTCAGAAAAACATTGGAAAGATACAGTTTATAATAGTTTTTACAGAAGTCCTACCGTCTATGATTGCCATTTTTAAATTACACATATTAGTCATTTTACAATTCCAGGAACAACGACTTCGCGGCCGAGGCACAGAGACAGAAGAAACAATTCAGAATAGGCTACGACACGCCAGAGAAGACAACGAAGCAGCCGAACGAGAGCCGGATCTATTCGATCGGGTCATAATCAACAGTCAGTTAGATCAAGCCTACGAAGAGTTCATTAGCGCCATACGGGAAGAGCTTGATCAATACGAAGCTTTTAAACGAGAAACTGAAGCCGAACAACAACCGTCGGCCGAACCTGTGTCTGTGAATTAAATTGTCTTTGAGGTTTTGATTGTCTTTGCAGTAGAATTTGAACATTATGAGCTAGAATATGATCGTTTTTGGATTGATTTCTCAATTGTTATTGTGTTCTTGATCTTGCGTTAGCTGCTGAGGTTTAAATTTGGACGTTTCATCGATTGACGATGGTTTTTTTTGAAAAATGGGGGTTTCCATATGAAAAAAAAGTTTTTTTTTCAAAATTATTTCATTTTTAACTCAACTTTTTAAACTGAAAAATTTATATTGATAAGTAATAAGACTATTATCTTGTCTATGATGATTTCTAATCATTGCATTTACTCTTTGTCATAATGTTCTAACATTTCTTCAGGTAATCGTCAGACTTATATTTGATAGCAATTGATAGATGTAGTGGCTAGAAAAAGCTGGTTAGTTAAAATATCGGTCGAAAACTTGGTAGAAGTTGAGAAACAAGATATTCTCTTAATGTCAGCGGATGATTTTAATGAGTTTTAAGCCGATTCAGTAGGAAATACAACGAGTTTTTAGTAAGAAACATCAAATTTTTTAAATATTACACGTGACTAACAATTTTCACACTTGGTATCTTTTATCATCGTCATTCCACGTAGTTATATGTTATAATAGGTAAAGGTTTAAATTTGGTTTTAAAAATCGATTAGTATATCTTTTTCCTATATTGTTGCGATATTGCTTATATTGTTGTGCGTATATTGTCTTCTGATGCTGGTGCGGTCAAAAAGTAACGAGAAATTCGAAAAACTGCCGGACTTCCAAAAATTTTGAAAAAAAAATTGAAAAAAGTCGGTTATTTATGAATTCTACGTACTTTTTGACCAACCTAGTACAACGCTTATGGCGTTATATTATCTATAATGATTGTAAAACAAAGTAATTCAAATAAAATTTGGTTATGGGAGTTGCAAAATGTTGTTATTGCTGTTGTAGTGGTGTTATTACCTAAATTACTTTGAACTTAGAAAAGATTTTAACTTTTTAAAATTTTTATGGCATGTTATTTGAAATTGTGAACTTTTTTCTTATATTTATTGACATTTGACTTTAAAATTCTAAAATTTTGGATTTTGCACGGTGCAGAAAGTCATTTTATCGATTTCGCCGTGAATAATTTAAAAATAGCCTTTTATGATATAATATTGAAAGTTTTAACACTAATATGTATTTATTAAGAACATACGTGTTATGAAAAATTTTATTTTAGTATAGGATGGCATCAACGTCAAAGCTACCGCCATTACCGGCTCTACGTGACTTTATACACATGTATCAGCTGAAAGCTACAAAAGTATTGTCACAGAACTATATAATGGACATGAATATCAACAGAAAGGTAGATGATAGTTTATAATTTAAAATTTTATCATTTGGTCCAAAAGGTCTTGGACAATTTGCACGGTGCAGCTATAATTCTAGTTTTGGTTGCCCCTTGCAGTCAAGTTTTTAGTTTTAAACCTTGTTTTCTTGTAAAATTTCATAAATTTTGTTGATTGTAATATAAAAGCTGTTAATTTGCTTTAGGTTGTACGTAGTTCCGGCTTAAAACCAAACGGATATGCGTTGGAAATCGGGCCGGGACCTGGTGGTATTACGAGAGCGATATTGGAGAAGAATCCACAAAGATTTGATGTTGTAGAGATTGATAATCAGTTCAAAGAGCCTTTAGAGGTAAGTCAGAGGTTGTATTTTGTCTAAAAAATGTTGGGATAGGGGTTTAAATTGGGTTGAATGTTGAGTTTTTGTTCTTTTTTTGGAGGTATGTTGAGTTGAACCTAGTGTAATATCGGAAAGTTGTTGCTGTGGCTTTCTAATATAACAAATATCCACAAATTTTCACATTTACAGGTCTTACGAGAAGCCTCGGACAACGTTCTGAACATTCATATGGGTAATGTCCTGAAGACGGATCTAGGTGAAATAATGGAAGAAGCCGGCCTACAAAAGGTGCCATGGTGGGACGAACCTCCGAATTATCGCCTAATAGGCAACCTTCCATTTAACATAGCATCTCCATTGATCATTCAAATGTTGAGACACATGGCATGGAGGAGGGGACCATGGGGGTTCGGCCGAGTACCATTAACATTGACTTTTCAATTGGAGGTGGCTAAGCGAATATGTTCCCCAATTGATTGTGATGAACGAAGTAGGATCAGTATTGTGTCACAGTTTGTGTCGGATCCGAAATTGGTGTTTGTCATACCGGGACAGTGCTTCGTACCCAGACCTCAGGTATGTTGTAGTAGGTTTAAGAGGGTTTTTATGGAAAATGTAGTTTTCTGAAGGTTTTCTTAGGTTTGATGCGACATATTGATTATATATTGAATAGCAAATGTAGTTTACATGATTAATTTCGATTTTTTGTTTTTTATGACCAGTTATATTGTAGTAGCTCTATAGTAGGTATGACCTGGTAATATTAGATTTTTGAGCTTTTTTTATTGATTTTTATGGAGTATAGTGCTTATATTATGAATAGCGGGGGTAATTTACGTCATTATTTTTAAAATTTTTTTTGAAATTTTGTTTATTTTTGGTCAGTTATTTTATAGTATATTTTGATGTGATAAGAGTTGACTTTCAAGGGTTTTATTGATTTTCATGGCATTTAATGCTTGTGTTATGGTCCACAAAGACGGTTGGTTTAAGTTTTTAAAATTTTATTTTATTTAAGGTTATGTTGTTTTAGGTAGATGTAGGAGTAGTAACCTTCGTACCCCGTGAAGAGCCTCTAATTGAAACCTCATTTGAAATCGTAGAAAAAGTGGCACGACATGTGTTCCACTATCGACAGAAGAACATTATCCACCCGGTCAAGACGTTATATCCACCGACGATGGCCAAGGATATGGCTCACGATCTTCTGAAGAACTGTCGATTGAATCCAACATATAAACCCTACCAACTTGGCATACCTGACTTTGCCGACATCTGTTTGTATTACGAGAAACAGTGTCGAGAGTGAGTTTTTTGAAGGGTTTTTTTGGGCAGGGTAGAGTAAAAGAGGGTATGGTAGAGTAAGATATAGCATAGAAGAGCAAGGTAACGTAAGGTAGAGTAGGTTATAGTATAATAGTTGAAGGTAAGGTAATATTAGGTAAAGTAAGATAGAGTTGGGTAGCGTAGGGTATGTCAGAGTAGGCTATAGTATAGTAGGGTAAGATAAGGTAAGGAAAGGCAAGGCAAAACAAGATTAGGTAGAGTACGCTAAGATAGGTCAATGTACGACAAAGCAAAATAAGAAAAGGCAGGGTAGGGTAGAATAGAGTAAGTTAATGTATATTAAAGGAAAGTAAGGCAAGGTAAAATCGGGTAACCTAGAGTAAGGTATTGTACGGTATAGTAAAATTAAGGTAAAGCAGTTTAGTCCAACCATAATAATGCTGTTTTATAAAACTTTTTCTTAACACTACAACTTTCAGAACCCCCGGCCTGTACGCCTATCACTATTTCCAGCACAAACGGCATGATTTCGCACAATTCGCCTCGAAACCAGATGCGTTCCCACCGACTTTTGACGTTTTAAAACAGAAACAACCTAATTTTAAGCACGGGATCTCATTGGCACAAACTAATCAGTCTTTCTAGGACCTTGGTATGTCTTTTTTTGTAATTTTATTTTTGAAAATGGCCTGGGCCGGGCGGGGACTTTTGGTCTGGGCACAAAAAATCGGCACAGGTAGCAGCTAATTGTGCCGATTTTTTGCGAAATTTTTTTTCCGAAAATCTACAGGGGACCACGTTCAACTTTTTTCAAAAATTTTTTTTTGGGGGGGGGGTACCCCCCTCTGTCGTCAACCACCTTCTGATCGGATTGATCAGTTCCAATCTTCGATGTCCCGCACCAGATTCAATGACCAGAGTTGTCCCGTGATCTCGCTGCTCCACGCCAAGTGGGTACCAGCTTCGATAATCCGTTCAACAATAAGATAGACAATAGTCCTAGTCAATAACTTGTGATATCGCACAAAAATGCCACCAAAATTATACCACAGATAACAACCATATAATATGATATCAAGACTGAGCCTCTCCTGATTGGAGGCTCCATTTACAATATAAATAATCATGCCTCAAGGACAGAAGAGATCAAAGTTCGGTCTCAAATCAACAATTCAAAAATAAAATAAATAAAAGAGAAAGACATGACACATCAAAATGAGACAAGCTTTATCCAAGCAAACATAAATCAGTCACAAGATTCTACCACTCGTCAGCGTGGTTGACGACACTACGGCCCGAACTTTAGACATCTCTTGTCCTGGCTCGCCTTCTGGTACTTGACGTTCTTGGACTTCGGCTTCTGGCTCCACTCTTGGCGGGTCTCGGTTCCTGGCTCCAGCTTCCGCTCCACTCCAACCTCCGGCTTGTCTTCGTTCTGGACGAGCTCCTGGGATGAAGATTCTTCTGCCCCCTTAGAGTCTTCAGGCTTTCCCTGATACTCTCCCACCGTTCCGATGGTACCACGATAAGCGCTTGCGCTTCCGACAGGTCAGGTTCTTTACACTCAAGAACAAGTGGATCAACTGGTGTCAGAAGTAACGTATTTGGAAGTGAAAGTGGAAGACAGCACTATCGAGCCAGAAGCATGGATCGCAAGTCACGCTGGGTACATTTGGGAAACATGGAGGTCAATGAAGAGGTTGAATGGTGATCCGGAACCAAGAATCTTCATCCCAGGAGCTCGTCCAGAACGAAGACAAGCCGGAGGTTGGAGTGGAGCGGAAGCTGGAGCCAGGAACCGAGACCCGCCAAGAGTGGAGCCAGAAGCCGAAGTCCAAGAACGTCAAGTACCAGAAGGCGAGCCAGGACAAGAGATGTCTAAAGTTCGGGCCGTAGTGTCGTCAACCACGCTGACGAGTGGTAGAATCTTGTGACTGATTTATGTTTGCTTGGATAAAGCTTGTCTCATTTTGATGTGTCATGTCTTTCTCTTTTATTTATTTTATTTTTGAATTGTTGATTTGAGACCGAACTTTGATCTCTTCTGTCCTTGAGGCATGATTATTTATATTGTAAATGGAGCCTCCAATCAGGAGAGGCTCAGTCTTGATATCATATTATATGGTTGTTATCTGTGGTATAATTTTGGTGCTATTTTTGTGTGATATCTGCTAATAAAGTCTATTTGAATTGGAGATTAGGCGGTACTTTATTACGGAGAAAGACAAGTTATTGACTAGGACTATTGTCTATCTTATTGTTGAACGGATTATCGAAGCTGGTACCCACTTGGCGTGGAGCAGCGAGATCAGGGGACAACTCTGGTCATTGAATCTGGTGCGGGACATCGAAGATTGGAACTGATCAATCCGATCAGAAGGTGGTTCACAACACCCCCCGCCCCCCCCCCGCGCCCGGCCCTGAAAGTGGTCTATTTGTACCTAAATTTGTACCTTCTGGGCTTATTGCAAATCTTCATCGATTTGTGCTTAAAATACTGGGCTTGTTGTGAGTCTTTATAATTTTATTTAAAATACTGAAATTATTGCGAATCTTCATTGATTTGTACTTAAAAACTAAGCTGATATTTATTTTTGGCTCAGTAAGTCTTACAGTCAGTGTGAGGTGTGTAGGTCTTGTACTAAATTTAGTCATACATTGTATATTGTTGTTAGGAACTTGTTATTTGTTGAAATTGTTATTTAGAAAAATAAAATTTTGAAAAAAATGTAAGTGAGGAAAAATATAGTATTTTTATGGGTTTTAAAATTGATTTAGTTTTTGTTATTTCAAGTCAATTATACAGCCCTTTTAAAATTTAAAAAAATCGTATTTCTATACAGAATTTTCACTTTTATAGTGTTCTTGGCTACTATAATTGTTATAATAGACATTTTTAAAAAATATTTTACGTTTGACTAACTATTTCGGTCATTTTTCAATGTTTTTGTATATAAATGCCACTATTGTAGGCAACTTTTATGTTTCAATATTTGTTTCTTATTTTAATGGTTGTTGACAAAAAAAGTGAAAGTACCTAGAAAGATCAAAAGAGAGGCTTAAAGTCATGAAGCAAACTCTGAATCACAAATACTCAAAATAAGTAATTAAAATGTCATCAAAAATATACGAAATGCAACAAAAATATGAAATCAACTCTTAACAACGCAAAGAAAACGACTCGTGGTGAGTTCTGTAAGGGTAGGATATAATATTTATAATAGGGTATGGGAGGGTAGAGTAGGACATAGTATAGTAAAATAACGTAACGCAAGGTAAGATAAGGTATGGTAAGGCAGGGTATGGTAAGTTAGGGTAGAGTTGGGTATGGAAGAATAGGATTTGGTCAGATATTTTTTATCCTTTTGTACAGGTCTGCAGAACATAAAAATTATCCAACAATGTAAAAACAATTTTATTTTAGAACGTAACTTGAAAGACTTCTTTTCGTTGGAAAATTAGTAAAAACGGCCCAGTGCTTAACAATCGAAAGCCCGGAGGCTTCAAGCTTTCATCGACTAAAAGAAATTCATCGGCCTGGACGGAGATGTGTTGAATGAAAGCAAGATACTCGACATTCAAAAAGAGATCCAACATCACTTGCCGGTACTCTTCCGTACTGCGCACTCTCATTTCAAGATGTTCTACACCTGATTTCAGGCAGAATTCCAGTTGAGATTTAGATTTTGGCACGCCATGAAGAATGTTCACCGGGTAGAGAGGGCAAATTTTTAGGAATTGTGGTATGGGAATGGTGGAGTATTTTTGCTTTGTGTGACGGGATGGGTATTCGTTAAACCAGCGGAGGGTCTGAAATGAGATTTTTTAAATTAACGGTTTGTTATCGACGGCAGGCGTACAGTTACTTACAGCAGACTTACAGTGACTGACAGCAGACTTGCTGTTACTGACAGAAGATCTACAGTTACTTACAGCCGACGGGCGAGTTACCCACAACAGACTTACAGTTACTAACAGGTACGGTAACAAAATATTGTGTACAATAAGTTCTGTAAACTTACTTGACTCTCCCAAAAGTGAACAGGTCGATGAAAGACGGATGTATCTATGAACTTTAATCGAGGAATTGAATCCACTAGCGCTAATGTGGATTCTGAAGTCGCTCGTAGTGAAGCTAAGTCATGGCCTTCGAGTTTACGCCTAAAACGGAACAAAAACTATTGGAAGGCTTATCAATATTTGCATAAATTGATGTATATAGGAGCTCTTGTCTACTTTTTTTTAATGCAGGATAAATAAAATGCTTGTACAAGGTACAAGCAGTACAACTTATAATAAGAGCTCGCTGTAATAAGTCTTGCTTATCTAATAGCCCATAATTCGTAAGCAATAACTTCATTTCTCAACTTACAATATCATTTCTTTGACGAGTAGTGGAAGCTTGTTGAAGTTTCTGAGTGTTTTATCGTGAAATGTACAATTTGGCATCGAAAGACAACTGTTACAAGAAAGTACGTAATGATATTCATGTACCATGCTAGTCAAAATTTCTATGAAATGTTGTAGAAACGACCTGAAAAACAATGCCATTTTAGATGAAACGGTGTGAACTTGAATTATTTTATAATATCCAAAGATTGAAGATGTATATTAGTTATATTATGGTGGTAAAGAGATTTACAGTCAACCCTCTTTAGTATGACACTCAAAGGACTGATTCAAATCTGTCCTACCATACAGGATGTTATACTACCCATGTACTTTTTGATTGCATCTCTATTACGAAGATCTGTCAGAAAGCTGTCAGTATAAAGAGGGTGTCATAGTATCGAGGGCTATACTGAAGGCTTTTTGTTGTATACCACAGTCAAGTAAATCGAGATGACTTTTTACATACTAATTGGTTGTTCAAATAATTTTGTGCTCCCTATTCCTAAAAATTTTCTTTGAGAGGGGACACAGGATTATTTGAACAACCTAATATAATCTGGTAGTTAAGATGATTTTGTAAAGGCACATACCCGTGTTCGGAATTTATCTTCTCTGGAATGTAAACTTGCTCTATTCTATTAGTGTCATCGTACGTTTTTATGCGACAGCGACATATTTTGGACATAATACATACCAAACTACTTGACAATCCTTTGATTAATAAATTGTCATAAATCTTGTCTTCATGACTCCTTTCTGTGTCTATACGATGATGTTCATCATTTTCGCAGATGCATTCTGTCTTATCCATAAAGTTATGTACGAGCCTTGCAAATGTTTTGGCATCCACCGTACTGCAGTAATGCATCATGCAATTCAACACTAAGCATCGCTCCATCAGAAAGTCGCGTATTGATTTGCCATAGTTCTTTTTTGTGTAGTATTCATGGGTTTTCTGTTGTTCGTTGAGGAAGATTCGTTTCCATCCTGATCTCAATTGAACATTGCGTACAGTATCGTAGATGTTTAGGTATAAGAATTGTCTAAAACCATGTGAATTTAGTAGAATAAAGTAGGAAAGATGCAATTTAGCTATTGTAGGAGAGATTCTGAGCTATAGGCTTATATATATGTAGAGGGCTAGATGTCTTAAACACGACGCTAACGGATAGAGTCATGTTTGGTACAGTTAGAATACGATATAACAGTCAAATGGCTAGACAAGAGGTAAAGCCTAGGCCTGAAAGTTAAGTTGTTATTGAAGTTAAGTATCATAATGATAAGTAAATGGAAAGACAAATAAAGAAAGCAATAAAAAATCCTTACTTTACTATGTCAGGTTGGTTGAATATGAATTCCGAAGGAAAAATTTCAGTTCCTGATCTTCTTTGATACAGCTCCCATAGGTTTTCGACAAAATAAAGGTCGGCATACCTGAACAGCCAGCCTGGCAAATGATTAAAAATAGACAAATCAATTGGCCGTTCATTCAGTGAAGTTATTCTCTGTTGACGGACTGAAAAATACATTACAGTTCATTCTATGGACTTTTTGACGAAGGTAATTAAATTTTTTGATCGAGGTAATGAAACTTCTTGACCAAGGCAATCAAACTTCTTGGCCGTGTTAATGAAACTCTGGTCAAGATAATAAAACAAAACTAAATACTTACATATATCTTCAAGATCTTCAATTAACGACATGTCTCCAATATCTTTCCTTGTCCATTCAGTTCAAAAAAAAAAGAAAGCTCAATCAGTGGGAATGTTTCATTTACTCAAACTCGCTTTTTCGACAAATGGCGTGGGTCCCTAAAACAATAATAATCAAAAGCCTTGTCATGCCAACTCAAAACTCAAACAGAACCAATCAAATATTATGAACAAGAGAACGACAGCACGCTGATCACGTTGGGCCAAAATTTTTGGCGGAAAAAGTGAAATCATTATAATTGATTGAGGCCTCTAATTAGCGATTTTATAAGGGGCAAAAAAGTGAAGACTCTTTAAAATATGATGAACAAACACCTTTTATAACGAACTTACAAGGAAAGTACCCAACTTGCAACTCTCAGAATTAGCTCAAAATTTTTATACGGATTCTTTGTAGTACCATTAGCACATATAAAAAATCTTAGCCTGCGGTTTTAACTTTTAAAAATTAAATATTTCCCGCCAAATATGCAAATTTGGCATAGTGTTGCAAGCACTTTTTTCGGCTTTCCAGACAAGCTACGCCTACAAATTTAAAAACGTAGGTTCAGTTACAGGTTTTCTACTAATATATCAAAGAAAAATGATTTGAAGTCAAAAAATTACAGTTATAAGCGTGAAACACAATGCCAATTTGGCGGGAAGTTCGAAAAGTGATTTTTTGATCTCGGTTTTCTCAAGACTGGCCGCAAACCGCAACTTAATAATTTGCGTAAGATCTTAAATTTACATGATCTTGCTACAAAAAAAGTTTGGATAGAATCTGAGCGTTACAGGTCGGGTACCTTCCTTGTTAGTTATAGTCAAACCTCTTTAGTATGGCACTCAAGGGACTTGACCAAAGTGTCTTTATAATTAGGGTGTTATAACATCCAGGTATTTTTTGATAGCAGTGTTTTTATTATACCAGAAGCGGTTAGAAAGCAGTAATTATATAGCGGAAATAAGTAATACAGGGTGTCCCAAGAAAAACGAAAAAAACTAAAACGTTTTGGTTGAGAAAACAGCTAAAAATGAAAAACTTGGCGCTGTGCAAGATTAGCACATGCGGTTTTTGTACCAAAATTTTAGATTTTTCAAGTGCATATTAAGGGCGTTATGATTTTTTAAAAAATTGTCATTTTCCCCGAAATTACACATGTTTTCAGTTGAAAATGCTTTTTTTGGTAAAATTTCCAAGTTTTTGACACATTCTTGGTTGAAAATGACATTTTTGACAGTTTTTAGTTTTCAATTGAAGAGGTTTCACTGTATCAACATAAAACATCTTGCCGCTGGCATTTCTTAAAGTTTTATTACATAAAACAAAGTTTTTCTAAAAGTACAAAACCTTCTCCAAAATCCTTTACAAGACCAAAAACGCGCTAAACTCTCGATAATAGAGGTGAGAAACGGACTGGACCCACCCGGCTCACAAAATTTTCAGGGCCAACACCCAACGTTTAAGCCCGAACTGTTTTCATTTTTACCAGATCGGCCCGTTCAAAAAACAATTTTTTGGGACTGATCCTACTTTTCAGACCCGGGCCGTTTAACCTTCAGCTACCTATACAGTCGGTTTCTCACCCCTACTCCGTAAAACGTTTCACCGACCGTTCCAAAACCTAAAACACTGCCCGTTGAATAAAAAAAACACTTAAAAACAACAACTGATATATGATAAGGATATTTTGAGGCCGAAAAACCTTTTTTACATCCCTCCCGACAGCTGGTCCCCTCGTTTTAATTTTCCTTCGGAGTGGGAGGGAAACGGCACAATCAAGCACATTTGGTCATTTAATCAAGAGAGAACGGCTTGAACACCAGCGAGTGCAAGGTACTGACACTTACTGGGAACAATACTATAAAGATCTATTAAAACTATTAACACTTTACTGATTGCTTGTTGGTAATGTGCTATTTTTTAAAAAGATAGTGTTAAAGAGATCAATAATGTTATAATATTTTTTGAGGCTCGAAGTAATTTGATCAGTTCCGGCGGAAAAAATTAAAATTACAGTATTGACAACTCAATTTATCAAAGTTAAGGTTTGATGAACACAAGAAGGCTATTTTAAGCTTGCGCCCTAGTTTCGCAGGCTGCGCGGTCAAAAAATAAATTTCATCGAATAATAAATAAAATTCGGAAATTTCATATTCAAACTTGGGAAGAATGAACTCTCCAAACATGAAAACAAGATTTTTTATTCATTTACCGGTCAGCGTTTGTTCAAAGGCTGTGGAATTTTTTTGGTTAGAAGATAAAGCGAAGACTTGAATACTATGGCTCGTGGCGATGGGATTGGAGCTCGAGAAATCCACGAAAAGCACAACAAGATGATTGTCGAAGCGATTCGTCAAGCTGAAAAGGTGGGGAAATTGTTTTTGGGTACTATTTTCGGGGAAAACCTCGAATTTTTTGATTTTTTATTTATTTTTCGATGTTGTAGTAGGTGGTTTGGCGAAAATCGATGGATGTTTGCAATTTTGGCGAGTTTTTTGATTGGTTCTAGATTTAAAAGGTGGTGTGACGTTTTTTCTTGAATATTTTTTAATTTCAGGTCATTCTTGCGCTGCCCAGAGTCAAGACAATCCGGCCAAAGTCCAGATCCAGAAGTCGAAGCGTGGCGTCGCAAACCGAATCCGACACTGAAAGCTTCTATGATGTGTCGGAACAATGGAATAACATGACGGAAATACCAAAACCGCGTCGAAGCAGCTCAGTCACCACTTTTACCGGCGCTTCTAGAACAGAAAAGGTAAGTTATACTTGGTTATATTGTTTTAGTTTTAGGCTCTTGATCAACCTGCGGACAATGAATTCTTGACCCGTGACAGAGTAGTGCGTTACGAAGAGAAGACGTATCTCATCCGTGAGCTATTGCCAAAGAAGGCTTCGGCTCGGTTGACTCCGCGTGAACTCAAACGGCTCATCACGAACAAGGATAAGATCGGAATTAGGTAATATTGGGCTTTTTGATTAAATAAGGTTGAGAGTTGAATTTTTTACGAGATATTTTAGTTGAAAAACATTATCAAGATATGTTTTATAAAATTAAAAATGGTTTTTTCAAATTTTATTAAAAATTTGCGAATTTATATTGTTTTAGGTGGAGATGTTGACTTTCGAGTTTAACTTGCTATATTAATTTAAATTTTGATATTTCTGATATCTATTAGCGTTTGATAGCTTATAGATAATTTTTTTCTAGTGAATGCCCATGTCCATACAAGTTCAAGCCAAGAACTGACAACACCGCAACGGACACTACGCTTCGTAGTTATCAAGATTCAGATGCGACGACTAACTCAATCAATCTCGGTAACATGAAGCCACGTCGTGTTAGATCAGAAGAGTCGCTCTCTAAAGTGGAAGGCAACGTCAAGTTGACCAAGACAAAAAACAATGGCATTGAAATCAAAATTCCAACTGTTATTGTAGGTTTTTATGGTTTTTTTTCTTTTGTTTTGATTTTTAGGTTGTTTGGAAGGATTTTGAGTATGATTTTGACTTATTTTATATATTTTTGTTCTTCTTTGGTAAATTTTTTGATATTATTATGAATAATATAAGCTTTTTCAGGTTCCAAAGCATCTTGAAGGCAATTTCATGGTCACATTCGACTTGGATATTAAACAGCCCGGAAAGTCGCCCAGACGCATTTCGAATGTTTTTGAATTGAATCAAGGTGAAGTAGAGAGAATTTACGTTGATGGCCAGGAGTTTATCAGAACCAAGAACTCGGCTTAATTATTACCTAAAATCAGATACTACAATATAAAGTTTCTAGTGGCTATCATCACAATATAAATTGCTCAAAAAATGTTTTTTAGATAGATTCTAAGATTTTTCAGGTTTATATCGTGATTTTTAGACGTTTAGTTTATCAACCGGTTGAAAATTTGAAAAATATGGGGATTTTGGTGGGAAAACTAGGGTTGTTGATGTAATTTTTAACTATTTTTGAAGTTATCCCCGTTTGTAAACGGAGAGGCGGTGGCTGTCAGAAGCCGCTAATCCGGACATTTTGTCAAAATGAACTTGATGGGAAATGAAATTTTTTTGGCAACAATTTTGAAGTATTTTTGAAAAAAGCGAGCGGTCGTGGAAATCAAAATTTGAAAATGAAAATAAAAAGAGACCGGTCAGTTGCATTGAATTGCTTGGCGGAGAGCGGTCGTTGTTCGAAAATGTTGAGGAAGATACGATGGCAAAAGAATATGTAAGTATGTTTTCTGATACTATTTTGAGTATGGTATGGGATGTTGTGTTTGATTTTGAAAAGTTCATTTTAAACTATTTTAGGCGTGGGAAAATATATAGAAGGGTGTGGTAAATGGATTAAAGGTTAAGGCGTATCATACTCAAAATAGTTTCAGGATTCATGCTGCGTTTCAATAGCAAAACGTTGTTAGAAACAGATTTTAGAGTTTGTATTTGGAAAAACGTGCGAGGGCCGCAGGCCCGAGCTTATTAGTTTGTCTAATATAAAACACATGAATTTGTAATGTCCAGATCAAAAGCAATGGGCGAGGGCCGCAGGCCCGAGCTCATGATATGGTATCTTCAAATGAAAATTTTTTTATTGATTTGTGACAACACAAAAATCAAAAGGGGCGTGCGAGGGCCGCAGGCCCGAGCTTATGATTTTGCATACTATAAATTGTATTGAAATTGGCATAATGAAAATGAAAATGCAATGTCCAGATCATAGGAGGCCCGTAGGGCCTCCGTTGGTCTGGTCCCCGTATATAAACGGAGACGCGGTGGATGTCTGAGGCCGCTGTAAGAGTGCATCTGTACTAAGTGGGAGAGCCATGCAAATTTTCAAAATAAATCATTTTTAAAATGAAAATTATGTGAAAATCGGTGAAAAAATCAAAACATTTTTGAAAAAAGAGCGGTCGGTTTTATGAAATATTTTATAGATACGATGTGTGTGAAGATACGATGCAAGTATGACTGTACCATGCCGAGGGCCGAAGGCCCGAGGCCTTTTTTTAAATCATAAAATAAAAGTAAATTGTAAATAAAATAAAATTGCAATGTTCAGACCATAGGAGGCCCGTAGGGCCTCCGTTGGTCTGGTTAGGTATCAATTTAGGCATTTTTTGCTTTAATATTTATCAGAAAGGTATTTTACATAGTTGAAATTCAAAATAACGTCATAATGACCTATTTTTTATGTCAGAATGACCAAAAAGACTAAAGCCTTAGATCAACAAATACGTGACGTACAGACTAAATTTAACAACGAGTCGAACATGTATAATATATACGCAGATAACAGACCGATATAACTCATTTGATGTATTAAACGTGACATCTGGTCAAACATGACCTGACCTACAACTATATTTAAGGAACTGTTTTATATTGTTATAGGTGAAACATAATTGGTACCGATGATCTGATACTGTATTTGGTGGATGTCAAGTTGGTCATTTTGCCATATTTTTTATTTCTAACTTTGAAAAAGCTATCTTTATTTGAAGTGGGGGTATTAAGATAGGCAGAGTTGGTAGTTACTGTTATTCTGGTGGATATTTGAGCTGATATTGGTGTTATAAGCTGACCTTAGCTTTATTTTCTGTTGTGTACCCAAAGATACTAACAGCAAATATTGTAAACTTCTAAAAAAATACTGAAAGCTACAATATTATACCTAAAAACTAAAATATTGCGTCATACCTTGGCTAGGTATCTTCTTTTTCATCATGTTACTATATTTGATATTGTTTTCTTTTTTGATATGTCAAACGCATGGAAAGTTTGTAATCTACCGTAGTAATGGATCAGAGTTCGATTCCCATCGTACCACGCCAGTTATGTATGTTGACCATGGTAACGACGAGTTTATTGAAGTAAAACATCTTCGATTCGCCTTCAATCAACCGTTAATGCAACTTGTTGGGACTGGTAGGTATTTACGGTCGATTTATTGATATCGTACGGGTCTTTTTTGTTTTATTTTAGGTTATTTTAGGTAACAAAAGCTTAAAAAAGGAAAGTTTCTGATCAATATCTTTAATATTTTTTGCTTTTACACTATATAAATAGTGGTTTTGTAACTTTCAAATGTTCAGATAGTTGCCAAGATGACCCAAATTCAAAATGCCCAACCACTGACATCCGACGAATGTGTGAGGTAAGCTCGTATCGCCGTTTGATGGAAAGAAAGTGCCGGAAGACTTGTGGATTCTGTAAATCAGAAGATGCTTGTGGCGAAGACAAGACTACTGACTGTGCCAAAGCAGGTGTACCACAATTGTGTGCGTCTAAGGCTTACCGACGCCTAATGAGCCAATATTGCCCAAAAACTTGTGGAGCTTGTGCTACAACTCCTGAAGCGGAGCAAACTACACCATCCACTCCTAGCCTTCCTGATACTACTCCTAGCACTGCTGTGACGACTCCTAGTACTCCGGAAACTAGTCCTAGTACAGAATCAACCCTTACTTTGGATATTATATCAACCACGACTGCGGATAGTACGGCTACAACTCCGACTACTCCAACTTCTGCAACTACTCCATCTACACCTTCAACTCCAGAGACAACAAGCACAACGCCTTCTACCACAACCACTGATGAATGTCCACCTGATGACGGTTAATATAAATAATGACTTGATGGTTAATATAAAATTCATGTTGAGATTGGCGGTAAATGTCTTTAGGTTGAGAATAAAAAGGAGTTTTTAAGTGTAATTTACTATGTAGAAGACCCGGTTTGACTTGATCCTCGTTAGAAGTAGACTTAAAAAATGGGCTCGGCCTGTTCCCCATGTCTAGTTATAAGCAACGCAAATTGACAAAGGTTTTGGGTTCACTATAAGATAAACAGTGAAAAGATGATGCCATTAGATCCACGATATAAACCAGAAAAAGGCGTTTTGTTTTGCCTATAAAGAGAATTTCTTGTATCGGCTGTTTTTCATATGTAAACAGGTTTGTTGATACTAGCTTGCGTGTTGACTATAACGAGGGTTGTTTTATAAAGTTGGCTATCGCGGACAGCTGGTACAGTAGTAGACTTCTGTTATAGTTGATAATATACAGTGGTCTCCCGATATAGTGAACCATGTGTATAAGCAACTCTCCTTATAAAGTACTCTCTATATAAGCACCCCGAAGGGATCGACATTTTGTGTTTACTATAAGGGGTGTTGTCTTTACTGAGAGACTTTTTAGTGCAAATTAATTTGGCGGGGCCAAATTTTTTGTTTACTATAAGGATAGTTGCTTATAAAGATGGTTCACTATATAGAGAGAACACTGTAGTAAACAAGAAGTTTGGCCTCGCTAATTCAATTTGCATTAAAAATCATTCTGTAAAGTCAACACCTCCTAATAAACACAAAATGTTGGTTTCTTCGGGTTGCTTATATAGAGAGTACTGTATAAGAAGACTCTTGTTATAATCAACAAGTAGTTTAGGCTTAGTAACCCTATTTGAAACAAGCGGTATAGCTTTAATGAGCCTATTTGCATTTAACAAGCGACCAGTAGTTAAACTCTTTTCATAATCAAAACAAAACGTCATTTTCTTGATTATATCATTCATTAGATTCATATATATTATTTATAAGAGTTTAATGATAATCTTTGTGACTTCTTTAAATTGAATAATTACTACCATAATTTAAAAAATTTTTAAAAAATATCAAATAATTAAGCACAATTGAAATCTAATACGACAACATGTTCAACTAAGCAACCTGTTCAAACAAAAAAACTTGTCATCACAGTTACAAAGCTTGACGTTTGAAAAGTTAATATTAATTTTGTTAAATCTGCATTCCTTGCAAGTTTTCGACAGCATGAAGCTGGCTTTTGCGCTTTTATTTTGTTGGATTACTGTAGCTTTTGGAGGCTTAGGAAGTTTGTTTAAGAAGAAATGTCAAAGCGGATCTTTGGCCGTTGTTCGTGAGTTTGCTTTGTAGTGTTTTAGGGAGTGGCAGTAACTTTGTGTTTTAGGTATGAATATATTTATGAATTAAAATTGATTTTAATTCGGTATAGAGAGGTATAAAAGTATGATTGTCAGTGTTGAGATTTTTAGCTTGTTTACTTGGCAAAACGTGCGTGGTAAAGCAATTTGTTTGCGAGAATGTTGGGGGAAAGAATTATTGTTGTACTCCACCTAAAGTTACCACTCCTACGACACCTACTACGCCGACCACACCAACGACACCTACTACGCCGACCACACCAACGACTCCCACAACTCCGACTACTCCTACCACGCCAACGACCCCGACGACACCTACCACGCCTACAACTCCGACTACTCCCACTACGCCGACCACACCGACAACTCCTACTACACCAACCACTCCTACGACACCAACCACCCCGACTACCCCAACTACTCCTACCACCCCAACGACTCCGACCACACCTACTACTCCGACTACACCTACCACGCCGACTACCCCCACCACGCCTACTACACCTACTACTCCGACGACTCCAACAACTCCGACAACGCCTACAACTCCTACTACGCCCACTACTCCCACTACACCTACAACTCCGACCACACCTACTACTCCAACTACTCCTACCACCCCTACTACGCCGACTACACCAACTACTCCCACAACTCCCACTACGCCGACCACACCTACACCAGCTCGTAAGTTTATGCTTTATGATATGGACGCTTTAAAAAATATATTTTATTTTTACAAAATAAGCTTAAAGTTAATGGATCGTACTATTTTTTATTATAGCTGCATGCGTGAACGGAGAAGAAGACAAAACAAGCGACTGTCAACTACCTCAAGTCATCGTTTTATGCAACGATCCTGTTTATCACGATTTGATGCAACGAGAATGCCCTAGAACTTGTCAATTGTGTAGTCCGAGCACACCAAGCCCATCAGCCGAGAAATCAGCTGAAGCACCACCACCAGCCCCACCTTGTGTTGACAATGATAAAGGGTACGTTATTGTTTAGTTTGATATTACGTTTTTTGTTAATTTATTAATTAATAATCTGATAATTTTTTTGTGTAATTTGATTATAAAAATATAAGGTTACAGGTGCCCCATATTCGTCAGAAACGGCTTCTGTAACTTAGCCTTTTATTCGGTGGAAAAGAAACGTCAAACCTGCGCGAAGTCTTGCAGTCTTTGCTGAAATAAAACAAAAGAAACTTTCAAAGCTTTCATTTGTATAAATTCATGTGTTAAAATTATTTTTGATTCTTTTTTCAACTATTTTATAATAATCTAACATTAACTTGTTGTATGAATCCCATAAAAGGGACGTTTTAAAATTTTTTCGTATAAAATGTCGCCGATTGTTTGGACGCAGCGAAACCTTTTCACAGTGAAAAATACTTTTGGGTTTCTTTTTGTAAATTGAAGTTTTATACTCAAGGCAAGAAACATGTTGGGTGAAACGCTTTTTTTATTAATGTGTAACGTTCTTCAGGTTTTACATCGTCTTTCTTATATAAAAATTTGGTCTATATTATCCATAGTCTCAAAGGTATAATTGTAAGTTCCTTTTGTTATTGTTTATTTGTTTTTTAGGTAAGAACACTCTTCATTGCTTCATCAATTATAAGACAAGCTGTATACAAAGGCTAATTTTAAAAATTAAGATCATAACTTTGTAAAATGGTGTTTATTTTAAATTTTACAACAAACGAATAACAAAAAACAGCAGGACCGTGGTAACAGGTTTGGAGCTTAGTTCTTCTCGGTCTTCTTGGCGACGGTTCCCTCACGGAATCCGTTTCTGAAATTTTATAAAGTTTAGGAGTTGTTTTGAAGCGTTAAAATTAGAAAAAGGTTGGGTTTTATATTGTTTTAGACATTAAGGTGGGAGGAAAGATAGTTTTGGTTAGAACTTCAAAGATTTTAGTATCCGATGAGTAATATAGGCAAGAAAAGATGGTAAAGAAGACGAGGAATGTTATTTTAAAGCATTTGATTGTGATTGTAGTTCTAGAATGCTAGCTAGTATTGTTAAAAAGTTAATGATATACTAAACCGAACAGTATGATAACATAAAAATAGTCAAAAAAAAACTGGTTTTCAAAGCTTTATCAAACCCATTACCGTTAAAAAAGATAGAGGTGATTCTTTTTGGGACGTGGGTAGGCACTTTTTGCGATAACAATACTGGTATTTACAGAGAAAAGAGGTTCAGCTTCTCCATTACTTCATTACGCAAAAATGCTTCTTTAAACCTTCTGAAGGTAAAATATAGTTAAAGCTTATATTTTAGTAATGAAATTCGATATCAGAAAGATTGCTTAGAGCGTGGAGATTCTGTTTATAAAGAAATGAAAAGTTGATAGGCATTATAAAGATATTTTTGGGTATGAGACGGCTATGGAATTCAAAGGTAAGGATAAGACAAGATGGATATCAGCTTTTAAAACATGTTTTTAAGTTAGGTACTTGTTAAGCTTTAAAAATATACGAATTTTTTCCTGAAGCTTTCTAAATTTCAAAAATAATATGAAAATATAAAGAAAATACCTGAAGCGTCTGTGCACGTCCTTCAAGTGGCGTTGACGGCCGGTTCCGGTCGTGCGTCGGCGGATGGACTTGACTGACCATTGGAAGGTGCGTTTGCGGGCGGCTGGGAATCCGCATGAAGAGCAGGTGTGCTTCTGGATGTGGTATGAAGAACGTCCACAACGACGGCACAGTGTGTGGGTCTTGTTGTGGCGTTTACCAAACGAGGTGGTACCCTTGGTCATGTTTTACCTATAAATGTTTAAATGTTGAATTCAATTTGTTAAAGTTTTGGAGGTGTTGGCATACGAAAGGTTTATCGGGATCAATATATACGCGAATAGTAGAGGTACATTATAGAACTTTAGAATGTTTAGTACAAGTTATAGTTTAGCTTTTGGAGGTAAAGAAAGATAAAAATACTTTTTTAAAAGCTGAAAAGTTTCTTTATAGTGTAAAACAGGAAAATTTACTAGCCCCAAAGATAATAAAATATATTAGTTTTGAAGATTTGTTGTAACTAAAAATCAGTTATCGAAAGCTTGTAAATAAATTTTTAAAAATATACGTTTTATATAAAACTTTGGCCTTTAAAAAGCAAGGTTTACCCTATCTTAGAACATTTAAAAAAACTCATTTCTATTTTTAATACCTTAATGTTTTAAAACACGCTAAATTTGCCTTTAAAAAATATTTTTCAAACCAAAAAATATTAAAAACCTATAATAAATTCAAAAATACAGCCCAATACCAACATGAAAACATAGTCGAACATAGCTTTAACTGTCGTCTAACACATCATTTACTTATTTATTCCAATTCTCCTAAATTTCAATCAAAAATTCAAAGAAAAACTTACTATTTTGACCAAGAAAAAGATTTTTGAGGGTAGAGAAAATGTTTAACGAAAAATTATACAGTACTTTACGCTTAAGCAGCCTGAATAACAAGGGCCGCGAATTTAAAACAAGTTGGCATTCTGTTTTATCTAAAATGAATCGTACATTCGGTGGTGTGTCCTTCTTGACAGCCGTATGTATTCGCAGTTTTATACGAGGAAGCCGAGTGCGTATATTGATATAGGTTGGTATCGCGATGTGCGTACCACTTTCGACTTGATTTTACGAGAAAAGAAAGGAAAAGACTATGGGAAATGAAGGGACATTTACGTGTGTATATGTCTCTAAAAACAAATAAGACATTTATGATTATTAGAGGAAGATACGATGGCTTAAAATTTAAAATTTGGTAAAAAACCCAATTTTACGAAACTTTTCTCATTATTCCTTTTCTATGATAATATAAACTCAATAAAAGTATTTAAAATTTAAAAAATATTTATACACAAGACATAAATATTATAAGAAGATACGGTAACTTGAAATTTCGAAAATTTGATTTAAAACCTCAATTTTTCAAGGATTTTACAAAATTTGATGTCTATGGTAATATAAAGAGCAAAAAATATGTTTAGAATAATATATTCTATTATTTTTACGTTTATTTTACTCTTTCACATCATAAAAATGAGTACCGTTTCTGCAATTTGGATTATTTTCTGTTCAAATCCTTTGAAACGAAATGCCAAGCGAAATCCTCGTTTGAATGCGCGCCAAACGCAAAATTTAGTGTACTGTAGGATTGGGAATTTCATTTCACATTTTTACACTTTTTTGAACTTTTTGATTTATCTTCGAATTTTTGATGGATTTTGGCAATTATTTACATTGGTTTAGGTTTATATTGATTTATTTTTGATGTTTTACTTTTATGTTTGATTGTTTTTGGCGTTTTGGGTATTTTGCAAGGGTTTGGATCATGGATAATATCGTGTTTTGGATCAATAAATTAATTTTGCTTTTGTCTTTAAAAGTTTTTCGATTTCATATAATGTTATATTAGATTTATAATATTTTTCTACATTTTTTTGGCTTTGCATTCATTTATTTGTGTTTCTCTTCGTGCAATATTATCTTTCTCATGGATAATATAATTTTCTTCTCATATATTTTCAGGTAAAACATGACCAAGGGTACTACCTCGTTTGGTAAACGCCACAACAAGACTCACACGTTGTGCCGTCGCTGTGGCCGTTCATCGTACCACATTCAGAAGCATACCTGTTCTTCATGCGGGTTCCCAGCTGCCCGTAAGCGCACTTTCCAATGGTCCGTCAAGTCGATTCGTCGTCGCACCACCGGAACTGGCCGCACACGTCATTTGAAAGATGTTCATCGCAGATTCAGGTAAGAGTTTGATTTTTTATGGGTATTTTAGGAGGTATTGGCAAACGCTGATGTTAATAAAGGGAAAAAAGAAGTTTTTTGAGAAGTTGTTGCGGTTAGGTAGTGAGTTGTTGCGTATAGGTTCTTTAGAGTCAGTATATTGTGTTGAAGGTTATTAGTTTTGTTTAGGGTATAATTTTTTGACATTTTAGGAGCAATTGATATTGTTTTAGGTGAAACTAATGTTTTCTGATATAGTTGTTAAAGTTCTTTTTAAGGAAGGATAAGAATGTTAAAATTGGAAGCTGTAGCGATTGTAAAAGGCATGTTGAGTATAAAAATCGTTAGTTTTTCTACAGTTTGGTGCAAAGTTGCTGGTAATATAGATATAATTGACCTTTTATGTTAATACAGCGACGTTATTAGTGAAAATACTTAATGAGCGCTGTTTTAGATACTATTATATATTAATTAACTTTTTTTGACTGTATAATTAGTGTTGTTTTCCTGTAACTTTCTAAATGTTACTATTTTCAGAAATGGATTCAGAGAAGGTACCGTTGCCACCAAACAAGGAGCCTCATCTTAAATTTTGTTGTTGTTGTTGGTCAATAAATTTTATTAAGTTAATGAACATGTTGGAGTTTTGATTAATATTGTAAAGGATGTTTTATACAGTTGAATGACTGGTTTATTTGGTAATATTGTTGTTTTGGGTATTTATGGGGCATTTTGATGTGATTCAATTTTTTGGGCTTATTGTTGCAGATGCATATTATGATAATTATGCTTTAATTGTGTGTATGCACGAATGTTTATTGTATATTATAGTATAGAGGGTTTCCGTGCTTTATTTACCTTGGGAATTAAGTATTGTCGCTTTTGTTGGTTTTTTTGCTTTTAAATTGTCTCAAGTTTATTCGCGTTCACGTATAATGTAATTCGAGTACGTTGAACTGTGCAACATAGTAAATTTCATATTATTTCGAACAAAAAGGGCAAGACAAGCATTTGGGAGCGGCTTTTGGGGGATGAATACGAGAAGAGGCTCATCCGGCCTCTGGTTAGAGTATCATTTATTTTAACATGGCGTTTTTGTTTTCTTTACCAGCATTGAGTTGTTTTTTGTACTAACAGTGGGAAAGTTGTGCTGCGTAGTATATTATACTATGTTTGTTTTGAACTTTTGTACTGGATAAGCTCATGAAAGCTTTAGTTTCTTCAGAGTTATTGACGTTTTAAAATGATAGTTTGTATCATTCTGTTACAATAATATGGTACTACAAAGTGTTTTTCTACCTATTTGATCTTTTGAACCGTATTATTAATTAATAATGAACTTAAATCAAACTTTTATAAATGGATAATCAAACTCCTCTAAATAAAGCTATATTATTCTTAAAAAGTGCAAAATACGTGATGAATTTGAACTATTTGAAATTTCTAAACTCCATTTTGAATTCATGAAGTTTCTTTTGGATTGCTAATTTTCGTGTATCAAACCGCATGAGAGAGGAATGGCTTCAAATCAGTAGTTTTTGGTCAATAAAAGGCATGCAAAGTTTGGCTTACTTCAAATTATACACATTTTTGGTCTGTAGACGAGGATATGGTTATGAAAAGTTGGTCGACTAAAATGGTTGGTAGTTCGGTCAATTACTATTAAGTCGAAAACTTTAAAGATGACGTTTCTACAAATTTTTCGACCGAATTAGCAACTTGATTTTATATTTTTTAGTCTGTTTGATATAAAAATTAGGCTTGGAATTTTTGTCGTATTTTAATTACAGTAATTTATCTTCTCAACCATATGTTTTGGCTTTCTTACGATATAAACTTTATTATACGTTTTTTTCTTTTTAAAATTAGAAGTTTTCATTTAAAAAAGGGATAATCTTGCTTACGGAATCTTATATATTCTAGTCTTATGGTAATGGTATTATAGGGTCAACTTCATTTTTACATTTTCTTATGTGTTTCTTTAGATTTGCGGACAGGGACCTTGCTAATGAGGATTCGTGAAAAATGGTGGATCCTAGGGGTGAGAAACGTTTCTGGCTTACAATTTTTTGATCGGGCCGGATCTAAACGTTAGAACTCTGGCTTGATCAGGACCTCAATAGTAAGCCCGTCCCGTTTCTCATCACTAGTGAATCCTTTGTGGGTATTTTCGAAGTTTTCCGCGTTTTGCAGGGAATGTTTTGATGTTTTAGGTAACCTTTGCCACTTTTTTGTAATTTGGCTTTTTTCTTTGATTTTCTAAAATTTTTTTAATCGCAAAACTTTTATGTCCTTCATTTTTTCATTTCTTGTCCATCGGCATCAACGTGATATTTTTATTGAATTGAACGTAATTTGATGCTGTGTTCCTGCATTTCGTTTTTGTTTATTTGTATTGAAGATAATATAATAAGCTCGGATTTCGACGACGTCAAATTCAATTAGATTGGATATGGGGATTTCATAATTTTATTGAGGGTTCTGGAATAGATTTCGAGTTAAATTGTGTTGATGGTATATTAGGATGTAAGACCAATAATAGTAAAATGACCAAAAGTATTTGACTCAATAAAACTACCAATAAACCTAAAAATGCTAAACACTTATGGAAACAATAATAAAATACAGTAGAACACTTGTATAAAGAATTTCTCGGGGATTTTAATTTTTTTTGTTTTATAGGATTTTCGTTATACATCAAATTACAAAGCGGCTAGTCCCAATTAATCGGCTCGGCCTGGCTTTTTTGAAATGTTCTTCGGCTTGGCCCGGCCTCTTTCACGGACTTAGTGGTTCTTTTTTTCGCCTAATTATACAGGAGTTATACTGGAAAAATGTTGGTCTTTTGGTGTTAGTTATATTCTTACACGGTACCTTCAAAGCTGTCGCTACTGTAAAAATGTTGACTATAAAAAGTGCTGTTGTACGTATTTTATGAGGAAGCCCAAACCCAAAATTTTGTTTACAATTTTCAACGTCCTTATTATTCAAAACGTTCCCGCGAAACGTTTCATTGATTTGCATAAAATTTTGACGTTTTGAAAATGGCCGTAAGGGCATTTCATTTCCGTGTGACGTTTGAAAACAAAATAAGAAAGTGGCGCTCACTTTCTTTGTTCAAACAACATTATGTTTCGGGGATTAAAAATCTGTCTACTGCACGTTCTGAGTCAGTATGAACTCTACTAAATTTCAAAATTTGTACTTGGATTTTGAATTTAATAGGGTTTTTTTAGTTTTTAACTTTTTTGTTTCTGTTGTAAGTAAAGTTTGCTAAAACTATCAAAAAAAAGTAATGTTCTAACGACAAGAAGGTTCTTAACAAGGGAAAAAAGTTTTCATACAGTACTAACTCTTTTTTCAATCTTTGTGCCTTTTTATTAGATTGTTCAAGTAATTCTGCGCCACCTAGCCTCGGAAATTTGCTTTTAAAGTTGGTACATAATTATTTGGACAACCTGATAAAAGTGCCCAAAAATTTAAAAAAAATTTAATACCGTACGATGACTTGTTTTCTTTGTTAAGAACCTCCTTGTGGTTGGAACGTTACTTTTTCTTAGATTTTTTTATTTAAAATAAATTAGGCCGTCTTGGCCCAACGCAATTAATGCGCCATTTCGTTTTATTTCGTCTTTAATTTGCAAAAAGAAAATGTTATTTTTAGAGAGTTTTCTTTGGTCGATCTCAAGTTTTTTACTAACTTTTGAATTTGTAAACAAAATTTTTGCATTGAAGTTTTAAATTTGCAACAAACAGTTTTAAAAATTAGCCTTTTTAACATTTTTTGAAAAAATTGTTAAAAGAGTACAACGCGTGAACTAAAAGATCTTTAATATTAGACGCCGACATAAAGAACACGCTATTTTTTACAGGAAAAGTATGTCGGGTTCTTTAAGTCGGCACCTTATAGGTTTTACGCATTACGCTTCTGCTTCACGATCAGAAAGTAGAACAGCTGAACGAAAAGTTCTTAGATTTTCTAATTTTTATGTATTACCTAGACTTGAGCTGTCAAAGTTATCAGTTGGCGCACTTTTTTCAATTTGCATCAAAATTTTTTTTCAATCTTCAGTTTTGATGATAAAAATTTTGACGTAAGCGAAAAAATGGGGCTCAATTGATAATTTTGATAGCTCAAGTTCAGGTAATGAGTAAAAACTAGGAAATCCAGGAACCTTCGTTCAGCTGTTTTACTTTCTGATCGTGAGACGGAAGCGTGCAAAATTGTTTTTCGAACTTTGCCCTCAGGCGTTTGTCTTGTTTTTCGTTGCAAGTTCGGTTGGGAATTAGATGTGCGTTGCATTTTGGCAAACATTGCCAATAGGAGCTGTTGTTGATCCTCACTTAATGTATTGTTATTGATCGTACGGAAGTAGCAAATGTTTTCATAGTCTGTTAGTTTGTTTTGACGTTTTCCATGGGTTCAAGTGTCAATTGTTGTTGTCGGTGCATCTAAATCGTATGTGAGGTCGTAGACATAGGTGATGAAATAGGTTTTAGTTTTTGTAAGATCTGAGACATCAGTGTCTATTGGATCATAAAAAAGTATCTGTCGTGTCATAAACAATGATACTAGTGAGATTCTAGGCATTAGTGCTGTGGTGATTGTTGACTTTAGTATCTGAGGGTGATAGACAACAGTATCGTATGTTGTTTTTGTCACTTAAAAAAGGTCAAATTAGTAATAAAATGCACTTTTATTGCTTGTTTGTTTATTGACCTGCAACAAAAGCTGCAAAATGATACGTTGTTGACTTTACGTGTTCAGTCTTAAGTATATAAAAGCGTTGGAATTCTTGGCATTACTAAATGATCACTTTAATAATGAACTTTTTTTGATTCTTGACATAGTAGTAGCATTTTTTGTTAGGATAGATTGTAATATATAAAACTATGCGGTGTTGACGTAGGTTTATATTTTTTGTAGCTATACTGTATAAACTAGGTACTAAGGATTGTAAAATTAGCTGTTATAGTACCATAAGCATTTTTTTCCTTGCAAAGTTGGTAAAATTCTCAAAACATTTTCACTTATATAATTAATTTATAGCAGAAAGGGACCTAATATTAGCTGCTTTTCGTGTGAGAAAATGTTTGGAAGGAAGTAATTGTAGTTAAATGAAGCTTTACTTCCTATTTGGCATGTCAGTTCTAGATACGCATGTATATTTGACTGATGCTTCCGAAAAGTTTAGCGTAAGCGTATGTTCAACTGCTGATTACGATAGTTTTTTTGAAGAATCTTGTTTGCTTATGTTGCTCTTAAAATTTGTTATGGTTGTTTATGGTCATGAGGAGCGTTTTTCATTTTTTTTTAGATTTTGTTTTTTTCCGGAGCTTGAAATGGACATTTTTTAAGTATAGTATTGGTCAGCTATTACTTTTTTTCAGTTTTTTTATGTACATACAATGGGTTTTCTATATCGTGAACTATCTGTATAAGCAACTCTCTTTATAGTAAACAAGAAATTTGGCCCGGTCAAGTCAATTTGCACTAAAAATCACGCTGTGAAGACAACACTGCATATAGTAAACACAATATATACTGTAATTCATTAGGTTGTTCAAGTAATTCTGTGTTTCTTCTCA